TAAATTTTGGTCAAAATAAGTTGACCATGTATGTAAAGATTTATTTCTGATCTCTGTTCCCATTGATGGATTTTTCTATTTTGACATACTATATTACCTCACTGTCTTGATTACTCTAAATGTGAAGTTAGTGTAGAATTCAGGTAGTGAAATTTCTTCAGCTTTGTTCTTTGTTTTGCCTATGTTAGGTCCTTAGAATTTCCAAATCAATTTTATAACCAGCTTGTAGATTTCTATGAAAAAATCTGTTGGGATTTTAACTGGGATTGTGTTGAATTTATAAATCAACTGGGGGAGAATTGAGACCTTGTATTGAGTGTTTCAATCCCTGAAGATGGTAGTTTTCTTCATATATTTATGTCATCTGTGTACTAAAAAGGTTTTACTTCTACCTTTCCAAGCTGAATGCCTTTCATTTTTTTTAAATTTCACTGGCTAGAACATTTAATACAATATTGAGTTGACGCTGTGATAGCAGACATCCTTGCCTCATTACAGAACCCAGTGGGAAAGAATTTAGTCTTTCACCAGGGTTTTTAAAATGTCATGTTCTGCTTTACTTGCTCAGTCATGCCTGACTCTATGTGGCCCCATGGACTGTAGCCCACCAGGCTTCTCTGTCCATGGGGATTCTCCAGGCAAGAGAACTGCGGTGGGTTGCCATGCCTTCCTCCAGGGGATTTTCCCAACCCAGGGACTGAACCCAGGTCTCCCACATTGCAGGCAGATTCTTTACCATCTGAGCCTTCAGGGAAGCCCTAAATAAGGTTAGGTTCTTTATTTAAGATTCTTATTTCCTGAGGCGAGACTGTATGTGATACAAACTCACAACTAACTGCTTTTGCTGTTTTAGATAACTGGGCTTTTTGTTGTCATTTGCTTCTAGGTATTTTTTGATTTCCTCTTTGATTTCTTCAGTGACCCATGTGGCTTAATAACACAGCCCACATGTTTGTGTTTTTATAGTTTTTTCTTGTAGTTGATTTCTAATCTCATAGTCTTGTGATCAGAAAAGATGCTTGATATAATTTCAGTTTTCCTAAATTTACCAAGGCTCACGTTGTGGCCCAGGATGCAGTTAGTTCCTGGAGAGTGTTCCATGTGCACTTGAGAATAATGTATATTCATTCGGCTGCTTTTGGATGGAATGCTCTATAAATATCAGTTAGGTCCCTCCGGTCTAATGCATCTTTTAAGGTCTATGTTTCCTTACTCATTTTCTGTCTGAATGATCTGTCCATTGATGAAAATGGGGTGTTACAGTCACCCACTATTATTGTGTTACTATTGATTTCTCCTTCATGGCTTTTAGCATTTGCCTTTTATGTTGACGTGCTCCTATATCAGATACATACATATTTATGGTTGTTGTATCTTCTTCTTGGATTATTGACCCCTTGATCATTATGTAGTGTCCTTCCTTGTCTGTTTTGTCTGATGTGAGTACTGCTACTCCAGCTTTCTTCTGATTTCCATTTGCATGGAAACCTTTCACTCTCCCCACTTTCTGTCTGCATGTGTCCGTGGATCTGAAGCAGACATCGTCTGCTGTCTTGTAGACAGCATATATATATGTCTTGTTTTTGTATCCATTTGGCCAATCTGTGTCTTTTGGCTGAAATATTTGATCCATTTTTGTTTAAGGTAATTATCAATTGTATGTTCCTATTGCTATCTTATTGTTTTGGATTTGTTTTTATAGGTATTTTCTCTTCCCTTCCTCTTTTGTTCTCTTCTCTTGTGATTTGATGATTATCTGCAGTGTTGTGTTTGGACTGCTTTTTTGTTATCTATTGTATATTTTTGCTTTGCAGTTACCATAAGGTTTTAATGTAGCAGGCTATATATACACACACACAAACACACACGACTGTTTTAAGTTGATGGTCTTTAATTTCAAATGAATTTCCAATATCCTGCATGTGCACTCTCTTCTCATGACCGCTGCTTTTTATATCATATCTATGTGTGGATGGTTCCCTACCCGAGAGGCTGTGTGTGTGGATGGTTCTTCCCTGAGAGGCTATGTGATAAGCGATTAAGGTATTCCAGGAGCATTTTATAAATGTAGAGGAGTTTTGCTAAATTTTGAATCTGGTAAAAAAAAAAAAATTAACCATAAAATAAAATTAATCATCTGTACTAGGACACTGCTGAGAGTAAAGGGGAGCACTATTAATATGTCAAGACAACAGGCATTAATTGGAACCATCTCAAGCAACCCAAGACATCTGAGGGAAAAGTCGAACTTTTCTTAGCATACTGTATCACTATTATATATATTTTTTATGTATTCAATACCATGTTCATAGCCCAAAATAATCAGATGTACCATTTGTTTCATTTTATTTTGAAGTGTATTATTTAAAATAATATTTGTGTATACAGTCAGTCCAGAATGGGGAGACCACTATGAAGAACTTAAAGAGAGAACACTCTCTAAGGCACAGAGATTTGCATTTAAATCCCAGAACGCCACTTCACAGCTGTGACCTCAGACACAGTATACCCTCTTAGTTGAGCCTCAGTTTCATCGTCTGCAAAATAAAAAGGATAGTATCCACTTTAAAAGTTATTAGTGGATCACACGAAGTACCATTTGATCAAGGAAGGTGTCCCATAAAAGCTGGAAAATGTTGTTATACACACGGACAATGAATATAAAGGAAAATGCTGTAAGACGTATCGGCAGCAGCTGCAGTGATGTGACATTACAGGAGGTGTACAGGTTGTTTGTGAAGTGACTATCACTGCTCGTCTCACTGGATTTCTGTGCGGTATGGCACTCCGTGTCCCTCAGCAATCACAGGCGCGACAGCAGTCACTGTTTACATGGGATGACCGCTACAGCTGTCTTTACTGTTAAACCTCAAAAAGGAAAATCCCATTACCTTTAGCATCTGCAGAGTTGGACATGACATTCAAGAGCATGTTCCTACTACATTCTCACTGTGTATCAGCTACCCTGTTAAGTTCCCTGGCCCCATCTTTGGAGCTAAGAACAGCAGGTCAGCACCAGTACAGCCTTGCAGCTTGAATTGATAGAGGAAACATGTGACTCACTGCATATCAGGACTCTCTCAAGTATTAGGACTGGCTCAGCCACTATTTAACTGCATGATCTAGGGCAAGGTGTTCCTGTAGAATGAGGCCACAGACCAGAGGATCATTAAAGACCCTATAAACTCCGACATTCTATGATTCTAAGATATTCTTGATATTTTACAAGTACAGATGACTGACTTCTTGTATATTTTCCTACCCTTTCTCACAAGAGAAGATAAAATTTAAGCACAATTAAACAGAAAGAGATGTTTGAAAGAGATTTCAAGTAGTTGTAGGATACAGTTACAGCGATAAACACAAATAAAATAATAGGCATTCAATTAAGAAACATTTATTCTTTCCCACATGAAAGTGTGTATACAATTGTAAACATACACTAAAAAATGTTTTACAAGGTAATCTGCTATATGACCATGACCTTGAGGTGTTAGATGGGATAATTATTAAAGGTCCTGTAAGTTCTGAATTGTATAATTCTAAGACTTTTTTGGCACTTAACAAGTCTAGATGACTGCCTTCACTTTGGGGTATTTCCTTCCACATTTTCCAGTCTATTCTCATTAGAGAAGAAAACAGCATACAATTTCAGAAATAGTAATTTTAAGTAGAGATTTAAAACAACTTCAAGATACATTTACAGTGAAATATACAGGTAAAATAGTTGCTGAGTCAGGAAACACTCACAGAATGAATTTCGTTAATTTATGGAAAATAATATGAACAAAGTAACATTTCTCTTACCAGGTAACTGAATTCTTTTATTAATAATTTTGTAGCTAGAGACATGTACAACACAACATTTACACAGTACTAATTTCAAAATAGATTTTTGACCTCTAAGAATGAAAGTTCTCAGTGACAAGCTTTAAATGTGCCACTTAACTCAGTGGGTGTCAACTCTGTCATAAGAGACTACACACAAACAGGACACCACCCATGCATGAGAAAGTGAAATTAGAAACTTTTAAGGCTGAAAAAAAAACTCCTCCAAAGCATAAATGATTAAGGTCCAACGAGCAAGTTTACAAATAAAGTTATTCAAATGAGCAAGTGTCTTAATTTGCATACTAATTTTCTTACTGCTTCCTGATTTCTGATTTGGGGGGCTATTTATGGTGTATCTACTGTGCAAGACATTGAGAGCAGTCAGAACCATGAGGCATGGCCCCAGTGGTATGCTGGTAAAGCTTTAATAACCAGCTCTTGGGGGGAAGGAAAAAAAAGCCCTTATCTATAGCATTCACCAATTTCTGTGGTGTAAAATACTCCCACTATACCAGATTTCAAGCTAACAACAGTTTGAATAACTGTTTCACAAAATTCCTGAAACTAGGAATCATCTCTCACAAACCAGTACAGTATATAAGCCAGCTCCAAGACATCAGTGGTTGGTCCTCACCCTCAAGTAGCCCATATCTATTCACAGGTACATATTTTAGAGAATAGGAAAGAATGGGGAAGATAGAGATAAAATATAAATAAATAACATATTTCATAAGTAATTTTAAAAGTTAAAAAGAACACTAAAATCTGAGGAATCTTCTTACTCTTGTTTACATTTAGCTCAGGAAATTAAAGTATAGCATATTCAGGAGAAAGTAAAGGATGAGAGGAATAAGGAAAAGAGAAGACATTCTAAGATACATGTTAACAGTAATTACGTTTAAGTTGGAAGAAAATATTTACTAAAATAAGGGCAAATCTAATGTAACTTTCAAAATTTTATCTTCTTTAAACCTTTTCAGTTCAGTTCACAGTCCTGAAGATTTGTCCTCTCCTCTTTGGCTGCAGCTTTGATGAGATTAACTAGCTTATTTGGAATAATACTGAAGAACATACTGCTTCATATCACTCACACTATCAGCTCAAATAAATGGAAAACTAAATTCTGGAGTCTGAAAACTGAACTTCCTTTGCATAGTCACCCTGCTGAATCAGATCTTGGGCAAGTGCCGGCTGGGGTGACCTGGAAATTCTCCTGGTAGCAAAACGTGGAGTCTGCAGGTTGGGCATGTCCCCTGTTGCATCAACCAAGGTCTAATGCACTAAGGAGCAAAAAGACGCATGTCAGCCACTCAGATTCAGCCTAGCAGAGGCAGGCGTCACTCTGTACATCAGGACTGCCAGCCAACATGTCTTCTGATAGATCGTAGAGCCTTATTTGGTGGATTGCCATGAAAACTGGAGAAGGAAATGGCAACCCACTCCAGTATTCTTGCCTGGAAAATACCATGGACGGAGGAGTCTGGTAGGATATAGTCCTTGGGGTCGCAGAGTCGGACATGACTGAACGACTTCACTTTCACTTTCTTTCATGAAAACTGCTGCAGTGAAGGCTCTTTGTCCATGGTTTGCTGAGCAACATAGTTGGTAACAGGACAACACCTTTCGGCCAGTTTATTCTAATAAGTTCCTTTCTCCAACCCCAATCTTCAGATAGACTAGCACTTTTTCCTAACAAGGAGGTTGGGGAAACCTGCTATATTTTTCTCTATTTACTATCTATTATTCTAATTGATAATCTAGAAAAAGTCATATCTAAATATACAAATGTCACAAATATGTTGTATCAAGTACTTATGGTGTTTGAAGTTAAAATCTTGAGATAATGGGTATACTTTTAAGATTGCCTTTCTTTGGTGATAATGGTAGTACTCTTTGGCTATGAACTATCTATTAAGTTATTTGCTTGAATACTGACTCTCCAAAAACAAATCATTTTACCTGAATGAATAATGGAGAGCCTAGCCAGATGAGAGAGTATTAAGAGTATGAAGAACAGGCAGTAGACATGAGGCCCATTAACTCTGTCCCTAGACAGCAACCTAAATGAATTACTTGCTTTCTATTCAATGAGCAGTGGAAAAGGATAAAATAAGTTTGTGAAACATTTATTTTCTACATAGATCTTCAGGAAAATCAGACTGGATATGGAACAACAAACTGGTTCCAAATAGGAAAAGGAGTACATCAAGGCTGTATATTGTCACCCTGCTTATTTAACTTATATGCAGAGTACATCACGAGCAACGCTGGGCTGGAAGGAAGCACAAGCTGGAATCAAGATTGCTGGGAGAAATATCAATAACCTCAGATAAGCAGATGACACCACTCTTATGGCAGAAAGTGAAGAAGAACTAAAGAGCCTCTTGATGAAAGTGAAAGAGGAGGGTGAAAACGTGGGCTTAAAGCTCAACATTCAGAAAACTAAGATCATGGCATCTGGCCCTATCACTTCATGGCAAATAGATGGGGAAACAGTGAGAGACTTTATTTTTTTGGCTCCAAAATCATTGCAGATGGTGATTGCAGCCATGAAATTAAAAGACACTTACTCCTTGGAAGGAAAGTTATGACCAACCTAGACAGCATATTAAAAAGCAGAGACATTACTGCCAACAAAGGTCCATCTAGTCAAGGTTATGGTTTTTCCAGTGGTCATGTATGGATGTGAGAGTTGGAGTGTAAAGAAAGCTGAGTGCCGGAGAATTAATGCTTTTGAACTGTGGTGTTGGAAAAGACTCCTGAGAGTCCCTTGGACTGCAAGGAAATCCAACCAGTCCATCCTAAAGGAGATCAGTCCTGGGTGTCCATTGGAAGGACTGATGTTGAAGCTGAAACTCCAACACTTTGGCCACCTGATGCAAAGAGCTGACTCATTGGAACAGACCCTGATGCTGGGAAAGATTGAAGGCGGGAGGAGAAGGGGACAACAGAGGATGAGATGGCTGGATGGCATCACCGACTCAATGGACACGAGTTTGGGTAAACTCCAGGAGTTGGTGATGGACAGGGAGGCCTGGTGTGCTGCGGTTCATGGGGTCGCAAAGAGTTGGACATGACTGAGCGACTGAACTAAAGTATCTATCTGGAGGTCATTTAGGATTAGTCACTCTGTGCATATCTCTTAACAGAGCAGATGAAAAATATAGCTCTGTACCAGGTCTCACACTGTCTTTGAAATGATGTTTCACAGATATGGCTTGAATAAGGTGGCTATTGTTCACTTCCCTGAGAAGCCTTTCTTGTGTAAGATCACCTTCTCTTGTGTCATGTTGCACTCCCACAACAGAAGACTCGGATCATAAACTATATATCAATAGCACTTGCAGAGCAACAACATCAGAAGTTAATCTATGTTGCTAATCTATAAATGCCAAGAATTAACAAAAGATGTGCCAGCCTCACATTTTCCTAACATCAAAAGAAAACTACAAACGAGATGAAAAGACAACACTCAGAATGGGAGAAAATATTTGCAAATGAAGCAACTGACAAGGGATTAATCTGCACAATGTACAAACAGCTCATGTTTGTACAAATAGCAATATAAAAATAAGGCAGCCCAATCAAAAAATGGGTGGAAGATTTAAATAGATGCTTCTCCAAAGAAGATATACAGATGGTCAAGAGGCACATGAAAAGATGCTCAACATCACTAATTACCACAGAACTGCAAATCAAAACTACAGTGATGTATCTATCACCTCACACCAGTCAGAACAGTCATCATCAAAAAAACTACAAACAATAAATGCTGGAGAGGGTGTGGAGAAACGGGAACCCTCTTGCACTATTGGTGGGAATAAAAACTGATATAGCCACTATGGAGAATAGCAAGGCGATTTCTTAAAAATACTAGGAAAAAAAACTACTATATGTCCCAGCAGTTCCATTCCTGGCATATACCTGGAGAAAACCATAATTTCAAAAGATACATGCACCCAAAAGCTTATTGCAGCACCATTTACAACAGCCAGGACATGGACACAACCTCAATGCCCATCAACAGAGGAATGGATAAAGATGTGGTACATGCATACAGTGGGATATTTCTCAGCCACAGAAAGGAATGAAACTGCGCTATCTGCAGAGACAGGGATGGACCCAGAGACTGTCACACAAGTCAAGGAAGTCAGAAAGAGAAAAACAAGTATCGTCTATTGATGCATATATGTGGAATCTAGAAAAATGGTACATATGTGTCTATTTGCAAAGCAGAGATAGAGACACGGACATAGAGAACAGACGTATGGACCCCACGGGGGGAGGCAGGGTGGGCTGAACTGGGAGAGTGGGGGTGAAACACACACATTACCACGTATGAAACAGACAACTAACGAGGACCTACTGTGCGGCACAGGGAACTCTATTCAATGCTGTGTGGTGACCTAAACGGGAAGGGAATCCAAAAAGAGGACATGTATGTATAGCTGATTCAAAGATGTACAGCAGAAATTAGCATAACATTGTAAAGCAACTATACGTCAATAAAAATTAACAACAAACAAAAAACTCAAGCCTTGGCATCTTCAAAAGCAGATACAGAAGCCTGGACAGACTGGTAAGGTAATTCTTATGTGCTGTAACGGCACTTGGCCATCATTAGGTGGTAACAAAGAACACTACTCAGAACAAGGCAAGGTGAAGTGTCACTTTGCTAAACTGTCAACTGTCATGTCAATCAACATTCCTTCCAGTTCTGTTCATCAAAAGAAATGCCACTCTGCCCATTAAATTTCATCACGGTCCCCTTCTCCTGGTAGGTATATCAAGACCTGAGAAAACAATGCAATCCATGGCTAGGTATGGGGAAAGACATCAAGTCTATCCACTACGTGAATATCCAGTGAAATTCATGACACAGTGGATGATCATATGTGTATATGATTTCAAGAAATGTAGCATGAATTTCACTTAATTGATTAATGGCAAAATATTAAACAGATAAGTTTACCTGAGCATGGAATTTATGTGCACAAGGCAAAACTGAGAGGTTATCTGGAGAGAGAGTCTCATGACAGATCACGCAAGGCTCTTCTTCCTCATCATCCTAGGGAAAACACATGAGGTTAAATTCAGCCCCTTCTCGCTCCTAATGTTAAGTGTATTTAGAACCAACAGCCCAGTCTCACCAAGCGATTGGCTCCTCCCTGTGTCACAGAGCCCTGCGAACCAAGGGACCTTGGGGCTGGTTTCGAGGGCTGGGCAGCATTAGCCTCTGGTGCAGTATGGCTAGGTGGAACACGATTACCATTTGGTGCTGATTTTTCCTGACTCTGAAAATAAGAATATCATACTTATTATTTTTTAGAATTGCATAAGACAGAAAGAACTGACAGATTACCATAGAATAGGCTACAGTGGAATTTAGCAAAAGGGGAAATCAACCTTGAATATTCATTGGAAGGACTGATGCTGAAGCTGAGGATCTAGTACTTTGGCCACCTGATGTAAAGAGCTAACTTACTGGAAAAACTCCTGTTGCTGGTAAAGATTGAGGGCAGGAGAAGGGGGTGCACAGAGGATGAGATGGTTGGATGGCATCACCGATTCAGTGGACAAGAGTTTGAGCAAACTCTGGGAGATAGTGAAGGACAGGGAAGCCTGGTGTGCTGCAGTCCAGGGGGTCACAATTGAGCGACTGAACAACAACAAAAAGTTAATAATCAGGTTCATAAGAAATCTTGAAGCAATTACTGGCAATATTACTTATAGATTAAGAACCAGGTAAAAACAAAAGTAACTCTAGGTGCTCTTTTAATTAAAATAAGTCTTTGCAGAAAATTAGGAAAAAAAGTCTCCTTTTTGAAATATTCAAAATAACCTAAATTTCAAAAGGCTCAGTTTTATTCTAGAATGATCAGGTGGTGTTTCCAACGCCATTTGTCAAGTTTAATTGTTTAATGTTAATATACGATTTAATATGATTATAATTGATTTCCTGATCATGTTATGGAGATAATTAGTACAGCTAACTAAAGATAAGGGTCAGGAGATACAGTTTCACTTTTTGTTTTCTGTTGTTTAGTTGCTTTTCTTTTTTTTTACCTGAGATCTCTTGGGGTCAATAAATTGGGAAATCTTGTGAACAATTTCATCAAATGTCAGTCCACATAAGGACTTCCCATGAGTATCCTTCAATTTCCGTACAAAATCTGTAAGCTCCTTTCTGGAAAACATCAAGGAAAGAGTAGTGTTCATTTTCCTACTGCCTTGAAGATGTCCCCTCCAAAGGAGATATAAAATCCTATCGTAGGTAGAACTGCCATATGACCCAGCAATCCCACTCCCGTGCATACACACCGAGGAGACCAGATCTGAAAGAGACACGTGCGCCCCAATGATCATCGCAGCACTGTTTACAATAGCCAGGACATGGAAGCAACCTAGATGCCCATCAGCAGACGAGTGGATAAGGAAGCTGTGGTACATATACACCATGGAATATTACTCAGCCATTAAAAAGAATTCATTTGAATCAGTTCTAATGAGATGGATGAAACTGGAGCCCATTACACAGAGTGAAGCAAGCCAGAAAGATAAAGACCATTACAGTATACTAACGCATATATATGGAATTTAGAAAGACGGTAACGATAACTCTATATGCAAAACAGAAAAAGAGACTCAGATGTATAGAACAGACTTTTGGACTCTGTGGGAGAAGGCGAGGGTGGGATGTTTCAAGAGAACAGCATCGAAACATGTATATTATCTAGGGTGAAACAGATCACCAGCTCAGGTTGGATGCATGAGACAAGTGCTCGGGGCTGGTGCACTGGGAAGACCCAGAGGGATCGGGTGGAGAGGGAGGTGGGAGGGGGGACCGGGATGGGGAATACATGTAAATCCATGGCTAATTCATGTCAATGTATGACAAAAACCACTACAATATTGTAAAGTAATTAGCCTCCAACTAATAAAAATAAATGAAAAAAAAATCCTATCATAGGATAATATCCACCATACAGACGTGACCCTTTGAATCTCTGATCTAAAAACGTGATCATGGGTCCATCTGCATTTATCTTAAACCAGAATGAAAATTCTTACTAATGTGCTCATGATTGATAAAGTTTAGTATTTATTTTCTTCCCCCAATGAGATTTTAACTGTTTATAAAACCTCACTTGTGAAAATGAAATTTGCTATCTAAATACTTATTTATGTACTGAGCCTCTTTATGTTGTACTTCTCAATGTTCTCTTACTTGAAAGAGACTAGAATACTTCTTTACAATTATGTTACTATCAGTCTCGATCATTGTGCTATCAATTTTACTTTTATAAAATTCATAAACAGAAAATAAATATTTAACAGAAAAGGAAAGCAAAGACTAAAAGACACATTATGTGATAAAGAAACCTAGGAGTATTTTATTTTTATTCTTTTTTTTTTTCCATTTATTTTTATTAGTTGGAGGCTAATTACTTTACATCATTGCAGTGGTTTTTGTCATACATTGAAATGAATTAGCCATGGATTTACATGTATTCCCCATCCCGGTCCCCCCTCCCACCTCCCTCTCCACCCGATCCCTCTGGGTCTTCCCAGTGCACCAGGCCCGAGCACTTGTCTCATGCACCCAGCCTGGGCTGCTGATCTGTTTCACCCTAGATAATATACGTGTTTCGATGCTGTTCTCTTGAAACATCCCACCCTCACCTTCTCCCAGAGCCCACAAGTCTGTTCTATACATCGGAGTCTCTTTTTCTGTTTTGCATATAGGGTTATCGTTACCATCTTTCTAAATTCCATATATATGTGTTAGTATACTGTAATGATCTTTATCTTTCTGGCTTACTTCACTCTGTATAATGGGCTCCAGTTTCATCCATCTCATTAGAACTGATTCAAATGAATTCTTTTTAATGGCTGAGTAATATTCCATGGTGCCTAGGAGTATTTTAATCAACATGCTATTTTTCAATTCCCATGGCCAACTGACTCAAAGTCTGCATTCACATTTTGGTAGGACAGGGTAGGATGATAAAATATTTTTCTCAAATGAAATGTCATGTCACCAGCCTTATAAAACTATCTTTGATTTACTATTTATTTTCTATAAACATTTTTTACCACAACTATATTAAAATTCTATTTTCATTTTCTATTCACCATTATGTTTACAAAACTATAATATAACCATGAAATATAATAGTATATACTGTTAAATAAAAGCATTGGTCTTCAAATGAAAATGCTGGTGAAGACTAGAATTATTCATTTGATACAAGATTAAAGATACTTCATTTCTGGAGGAATAGAATTAAATAGTTTTCTGCAAAAGTCAGAACTGTGAAAAGCACAGTAAAATAATGATTTCTTGCATTTAACTGTGTTCCTTAACAAAGAAACCATAAGAACCCTCAATAAATTTAGGAAATCTGATTATGTTTGTGCTTATATGGCATACAATTAACTTAAAATTCACTTTGGAAATAGGTTATTAAGATAATTATTGTAGCTAGTGTTATTAAAACTGGATAGGTTTATAACTAGTTGTACTTTCATTAAACAAGCAAACCTAAATTCAAAAGTTCATTCCCTCGTGACTTAAAAATAATTTTCATGGAGAGGTTTAGCATTTATACTGAAAACTATCCCTTCTTAATGAATGTCATTTTCCTTACCAAGGTGATGGTTAGGAAATACCTGTACCTTCTGTGTGTTGGGAGTGGGGTGGGTGGGTATTGTCTCTCTGAAATGTTCCATTGCATAAGTATGGCTATGGGAACTGTAGTATGGTCTGTTCACAACGCTGAGAGACCACGCTACCTGGTCTGCTGTGGAAAGGCGGTTTTCAGCCTCTCTGTAACCTTCTCCCAATCCATCACGAGGGGGTCACATCCTAGACTTGCACTGGGGGGCACAGCTTCTGCCACAGGAGCTGGCAGTGTCCAGGCTATGCGAGTCATCTGCAAGAAGCACAGTCATGCCATCAGCTTCAGTTACGGGGAAGCAGAGCTCCACGTCAACATGGCATCTCCATGCCTCAGGAGATGGGTACAGTAAAGAGGAATGCTGACATGCATGTTCCCTTTGTACAAGTTTTTTTCCTTAACCAGCACAACAATATTTCTAATTATTTATATATGTTTACCTTTATTTTTAAAATGGCACATACTAGTCTCAGTAATTACAAACATAAACAGAAATACTGTGCATTTCTGACAGCAACCTAATTTGTTAATAGGGGAATAAGTAAACAAACTGTAGCATATCTAATCAAGTCCTTAAAAATAGATCTCTATGTCTGAGCATAAGAAATATCCATAATATATGTAATTTTTAAAAAGTCTATGGCACAGCATTTATGGTAGAACTCATATTAAAATATTTTTCACTCTGGGTCTTCCCAGTGCACCAGGCCCGAGCACTTGTCTCATGCACCCAACCTGGGCTGGTGATCTGTTTCACCCTAGATAATATACAGAGGGATCGGGTGGAGAGGGAGGTGGGAGGGGGGATCGGGATGGGGAATACATGTAAATCCATGGCTAATTCATTTCAATGTATGACAAAAACCACTGCAATGATGTAAAGTAATTAGCCTCCAACTAATAAAAATAAATGGAAAAAAAAAATGAAAAAAAAAAAAAAAGTCCTACTGTTCTGAATATATGGTAGGCCCTGTGAAGGAAATCTAAATTCATGGTCACATGGCTAGCATCATTTTTAAAGGATATAGTTTGGTAACATTTTAATTAAGCAAGGAGTACAAAAATTATGCACTTGAGTATAGCTGTTTCTAATTCTTGGTGTCTAGTTCAACCAGTTGCTTTCCTGCCTAATAGATTCAGTTTTCTTTATGTTCTCCCCCTTCCTTAAATATAATGAAATGAATCAGCAAATTATCATTAAAAGTTAAGAGATGAAAAATGAAAAAAAAAAATTTTTCAAATGTGTATGCATAGAAAAAGGACTGTAAGATATAAAATAACCCATAAACTGTGATTATTTTCTAGGATTCAACAACAGGGTAGTTTTGCTTTCTACTGTATATATTATATATTTTGTATATACTATGTGTATTATATTTTTCTAATTATAAAAGTAATTAATAAAATTACTAATAATAAATATCTAATAAGATAAAATTATTCATCATAAAAAGCAAACAATAAAATTTAATTTCAAACAACTAAATAAAGATGAGAATACTGCTGAACTATCTGCCAATGTCTCCAAACGTCACACAGGTGGTACATGGAAGCTGAGTGACAGCTCAGAGCCATGAAATCATCAGACAAAAATGTCCCCGTATTTTATGAGAGTTCTTTACTAGAACCATTAAGTTTCTAATTAATTAATATCAATGTGAGAATATTGTTAAGTGCTTTATCTGGTTATTAGGATAATCATAAACAAAGTATCTTCTATCTAAGATTACAGATTATTTTAAAATGTATGGTTACTACTTATGAAAAATTAGCAACTACTAACAGCTACTGAAATTACTCATACAAAGCCTAGTAAGTCAGAGAAAGAGCAGAATATCCCCAGAAATCAGAGTTTGCCTCAGTGTCCAAGCTTTTTCAGAGGAATCAGAAACTAATCCTATTAGAAGGCTGAGGTACTTTAAAATTTTACAGATCCTCATAGAATGTTGCAGGAGCAAAACACCTCAGCAACACTGTAATATCAAGGTGATTAAAAAAAAATGTGTTGCTTAGTAAACATGTTAAAGCTTAGATACATATTCGCTTGTAGAGAGGCCTCTATACAAGTAAGTAAATCTATTTGACTATACATTTCAAAGGGAGTCTGTCAGCAATATACAGGTACAGAATAAACCTCAATTCACTAGGATGCAGTTATGACAAACTCAAGATTAGAGAATTTTTCATTAATTATCTTAAACATCAATCTCCTGTGAGGTTTTTTAATAAAAAGTATACCTTGACCAAGATTACAACTGACAATCCCAATCATTTTAAACTTCTCTCCTGCTCCTTCAGGTTCTGATAAAGCTTATCTGGCTCTTTGTAACTAGGAAAATTTGTAACTTTGCAGTATAACATGTTTCAGGGTGATACTATTTATATTACCTGTTTATAGATAAACACTGTCCTACAATATACACATATGTATCTATGTATAAAAACTTTTTCTTTTGTTTTGTGGCATAATGTGACTTGGCTTCTTTGCTTTTCAACCTACCCAAAAACCATGCTAAATATAAACTATCTCTTAAAATTATCAATCTCACCCCATCTGTTTTAGAAGCAAAACTAAGAATTCTCTACTATAATATCAGATTTATCTTTGTATCCAAAAACTAAACTACTATTACTTAATGAAATAGTTAATATACATAATGCATTTAACACAGTGCCTCATGGACATATTCATTCAATTATCATCATTATTTACTTAATTAAACAAATCAACAAAGAGAAGACATTCATTCTGGGAGTCCACTGTGACAATGGACTAGTTAATGTCTGTTCTATGAAGGAAGTTTTGTACCAAGGGAGATCTAGATTGACCAGATGCAGAGACGATTCCAGAACAAACGGCAGGCATTTGAGGAACAGTGAGTATGGGTCTAAAGAAAGATTCTTTCACAATGGGTCTTCCCAAGAACTGCTGCATCTAAAATAGAAAAGATAGAAAATAAAAACAAACCCCCCACATGATTATGTAGTCAATAATATAAACTCATAGAGCAATGAATTTTTGGGGGGAAGGAAAACTGATTTGAATCTAGATACAAAGTATATTAGAAACAGTGCTGTTATAACACTAGTTAAGTATATGAATATCTGAAAAAAGCAGGGAGCAGTAAAATACACTAAAGAGCACAGAGAGAGAATAGAACTCAATTCTAGTCCTACTTTCTTTCCATCTCACTGGGTGGCCTTGGACACCAAGTTATTAACCCATAAAACAAGAGCTGAGGTAAGAGGATCCGTAAAGTTCTCTGCCAAATGGAATAACGCAAAGGACTGTACAAAGCAGTTCCTCGGTGAGTACTCTCCACACTGATAAATATGACACTCAGAAATTCACTGAAGAATCAGTCATCTACATAAAATACTACTTTTGCTCTTAGGTACTGAAAGGACCTTTTACCACCTGGTGGAGTTCTGAACTTATGTTTAGTTTCAAGGATACTAGAAAGCTAAAACAGGGTGGGCCAGGGGGATAAACCCTCCTACAGTGACTCGTGGACATGCCTGTGGGTGACACTGAGCTTCCCAGGGATTCGTAGAAAGCTGGCCCTTCTCAGCACTGACCAATGGGATGGCTGCCTTGTTAGCTGGACTACAGAAGAGCACACGCTTACGGGACATCTACTGTGCGCCGGGTCTAGCACTGGCACAAAGTACAAGTTCACCTATTTGTTGAATTTAAAAAATGAACATCAGTATCACTCTTAAGTAACGAGACTGAAACCAGAAAGGTGACAATTAATGGGGAACTTTATAATGGAGACAAGAATGACATTTGATTCCTAACATCACTAAACGAGAGACACTGTGTCTTCTAATGTGCATATAATTCATCACCTATAAGGTACTCTTGCTAAAAATACTGAACCTGATTCTAATTTAACCCTCTAGACCTATGATCAGTTTATAGGAAATAGCAGAACATGTATAATGACATTATAAGGATGTAATCAGTTACATCAATAATACAGGAAATTAGTTTTTCAACAAATAAATGACATGAATAAGAGAGAGGGTGTTGGGTAGCTGTTACAATTTTAAAGAAAAATAATCAGCCAAATGAAATTATAAACCTTGTTTGGATTGTTTTTTTTTTAAATAAGAGTTTTTAAAGTAATGGCAATTATAACCAAATTGGAAGTATTGTTAACCTAGTTAAGAAAAAGACATTTTTGAAACAATTGGGGAAATATGAATTGTAATATCAGATATAAAAATTATAATTTTCTTAGAATGGTGGTGTGATTATAGCCAATAAGAATAAGAGTCTTCATCTTTTCGGAATGCATACTGAAGTATAAATGGATGAGATTATATGATATATAGCGTTTACTTTAAAATGTTCCAGTGGGGAGGAAGGAGGAAATAACATGAAACAAGATTAATAAAATGTTGATTATGATGTTGAAGATGGCTCTTGGGTTCACAGAGGTTCATCATTCTATTTTTATGTATGTTTCAATATATTTGTAATATAAAGTTCTTAAATAACAAATGGTGGTTCTGAATCAGTGGTCCTACTCTTTTTTGAGGACAACAATTACCTAATATTACTTTGAGAATTAGACAGCCAGGGTATAAAAATCAAAATATAATGAAACTCATAAAAATACTGGGTTAAACTGGGAAGAGTACCCATTATTCCAGACTTCTCAGGTTAGACCATAATATTTATTTAAAGCCTGGTGACCATTCTTTACAATACTAGAATTTCAGAGAGACAGTGATCTGCCTCTCTGTTAGTTAGTGATCAGATCGTCCAGGACAGTTTCTTGATTTGTCAGTAGGAAAGCCGAAGTTTGGGACAGCTGAGTTTCCCCAAACTAACACAGTCCTTCCAGTTAGGGCCTGAACCCAGACCCCTACTGTATGTCCACTGTACAATACCGTCTCAGTTGATACTGAAAGAATGGCCACATTTCCAGCGTCTGTGCTTTCAAACTATTCCACTAATGCTCAGCGGTCACTAGCGCCTGTACTTCAACACAACAGTCAGCTCTGATCAAGTACAGCAGTGACTCTGGTTAGAAAGCACAAAAGATACACATGTACCTCTTAAATGTTTGCAAAGGATGCTTATGAATTTTACTGAGCCTAACTGCCAGTGAGTTTTTGCCCTTGACTAAATCTGGAAAGCCACATCAGACATAAGCAAGGTTCTGAAAGGATGAGGATGTAGAGATCAAGGGCAGATAATGTTTGTCAGTCATGGTGTCACATATAGCTGTCACAGACAGCTAATGCCAGTCTGATTCCAGAAAACTCCAAAGAACAACTCTGTATCTAGCTTCCAAGTCTCTGGAGCCATTTTATGTTTAGTCATGGGAAAGTTTAACTACTACCTACAGGCAGCAGTTTGAATACAGGCAGAAGGCAACAGGGTTTCTAGAAATCCTACTATGTTACTTCCCATAGAACTAAAGGGAATCTGGGATTTGTCATCTATGCAACACATCCCTTATCAGAAGAATTGGCAAGGATGTTGTTCAAAGCCTAGAATAAAAATATCCATAATACAAAGCTCCTGTAAAACTTGAACTAATCAAAAATATAAAAGGCAATCCTCTCATTCTAAACTAAAGCCCATGCGTATCATAGAATACTTTCTCAGCTTTAAATTCTGCTTTTGAAACGCAATGTAACTCCACACAATTTACATATTAATAATTTTTAAGTTCTTTGATATACTGAACTAGTATTTATAGAAATAATATTTTCAGAGTTCTATTATAAACAGAAATGCTAATGTCAAAAGTGATCTACCCCTAAATATATCACAGCTTTTTTTTTTCTTATCCTCAGATCTGTTATCATAATAAAAGCTATCATCGAGTGGTTCTGTTCCAAAAGGTCTTTTGGAAAGCTGTATGAGTTTATTGGGCTAAGGTACTATGCTTCACTTTTTTCACTTTTCCCCCGACTATGTTTCCCAGAAGGCTAACATAAACAGTATGGCATAGAGATTAGTTTGTCTGATGATGACCCATTTATCCCTAGCCAGTCAGGGAAGGGGCCTAAATGAAAGCTGTCTTTGATGTTAAAAGGTAAGAATAGAACATAAAAGTTCAGGAAACAAAGTCTTAAGTGGAAGTGGAGGAGTGAAGTCCAGCCTGATAGGGTATTATGCTGAGAGGGTTCAGTAGTCTAGTGGTAATTTGAGCACATTTGGGAATTCTGAGCATTCATCAGTTTTCTCCCACCATGTAAATGTGGTTGACAGGATGAATGAGCATACATTACCTCTTTAGATATCAAACGCATTACTAAAATCCAATGATACAACCTATCTCGGCCTCAGCTGAGCCAACAAACTAGTCATACCATCTGTAGATGATACAACAGGAATGGACATAATTACAAGTGACAGGCACAACATGCGCCCTATCCACTTTGAAGACACATGAACGTACTGCTTACTCAGTGTTGTACAGTTCTCACCATTTTATCAAGATGAGGATGGTGACTGTTCAAAATCATATGCAACTGATCCTTGAACAACAGGTCTGAGCTGTGTGGGTCCACTTATCTGCCTATTTTTGTCAACAAATATAGTCCTTGTATTTTCGTTTTATAGATCTTTAAATGCGGAGAAAGTGTACATTTGATTCATGGAATCAAAAAACTAGGGTTTGAGTCTTGATTCTATCCAAACTGTTTCAGCTTTCTGCTCTTGGGGAGTCATTTACCAAATTCATTGTTTTCGAGTAGAGCAGTACCCAGATTCCTGAGTGCATGGGGGGCTGACACCCCCCAACCCTTGTGTTGTTCAAGAGTCAACTGTATTTCTTACCAGTATCTCAGGACTGGGAGGTGGTGGAGGAAGCTGGATTGGAGGCAATGTACTCAAGGCAAACCCTTGCTTCACCTTGCTAATTTGTTCATTGTATTGTGTCTAACAGAAGAAGAGAAACAATATTTTACAGCAAAATCAACTTCAAAGGAATAGCATATGGAAATACTTTATATAGTTTTGAATAGCACAACACAGGTTAGTGATTCCCAATCTAGTATGCCAGAAATACTATAAAAATAATTTTTGACATAAAACAACTCTATACACCACTCTCCATAAATGTAAATACTAATAGTTGTGTCTTTAATAGTGTATATTGAGTGACAAGGTACAGTGACACATAATTCACAGATCTCTGTGATAATTCCTCAGTGTTGCCATAATTTTTAGCCCCCAAATGGTCATCACTGATTAAAGTAAACAATGTCTAAAGATCAAGAAGATGTAAATAATACACTAGCTGATCAATATGGGGAAAAAGTATTGTAACAGCTTAACTACTTGTAAATGTTCATTTTAGAAATGGAGAGGAAGGTTTAGAAAAAACTTATTAAATGTCCACATTTTTTTATCTTAAAAGTTATACCTTTAGTTTTCTCTAGTTCCTCACATAGCTTTGTTTTTTTCCTCTTGGATTTTGCCAAAAGTAAGACTCCCAACCTTGAAGTTTAAAAACATACTTTCTAGATTATTGGCATTGTCCCCATTTTGCTTTCCATATTACTTTGTAAACAACCCACAAGGGTGGAAAGAAAAAGTCTTAAAACATAAACTTTCATATACAGGACATGTTCTTAGAAGAAAACAATGATAGAGAACAAAGGGCAGATCTTTTGAGTACAAAACTTTTAATAAACCCAATAAAAGTGCTAAGCATCACTAAGAGCTGAGGATGAAAGAATCCAGGAAAGAAACAGGGAAGCCCACCAAGGACAAAGCCAGACAAGTAGATAGTGCTTTGAGGCAATTCTTTATAACCGAATGTCAATGTTTTCCTGGCAGTATTGTGGAATCACAAAATAATCAACATTATATATCAACTTTAAGATATAAATGTGAAATTATTCTAAAAACAAATGAATAAACTAATAAATATTCAGTGGTTTACCTCTTCACAGATTACCTTTAGCACAGTTCTAATTCTATTACATGAATAACTAAGAGTTTATTACTTTGCATTAGGGAGTAATTATTACTACATAAAAAGTTTAACATTAAAAACTAATACAGGTATTCTTGGCCTTCCTTTTAATTCTATAAACACATAATTACTCAGATAAAGTTAAAACATTCACTTATGACTGGGGCACAGTTAGCTTTGGAATTCTAGGAAAATTAAGTGTGAGGCACAATTTTTGCATGTACCATTTACTAAACCAAGAACCTGAAAGAAGAGGTGTTAGAGTTAGGGTGAGATCTACAACCAACTACAAGGAAGTAATCAAACCTCAAAAAGGGATACTTTAATAACTGCAATGAAAAAACATGTTTTCCTTAAATTTCTGTTGTCATTCAGTCATGTCCAACTCTTTGTGACCCCACGGACTGCAGCATGCCAGGCTCCTCTGTCCTTCATAATCTCCCAGAGTTTGCTCAAACTCACATCCATTGAGTTGGTGATGCCATCCAACCATCTCATCCTCTGTCATCCCCTTCACCCCCTGCCCTCAATCTTTCCCAGCATCAGGGTCTTTTCCAATGAGTAGACTCTTGAAAACAGGTGGCCAAAATATTGGAGCTTCAGCTTCAGCATCCGTCTTTCCAATGAACATTCAGGGTTGATTTCCTTTAGAATTGACTGATTTGCTCTCCTTGCAGTCCAAGTGACTCTCAAGAGTCTTCTCCAGCAACACAGTTCAGAAGCATCAATTCTTCAGTGCTCGGCCTTCTTTATGGCCCAGCTCTCACACCCGTACAAGGCTACTGGAAAAATCACAACTTTGACTATATGGACCTTTGTTAGCAAAGTGATGTCCCTGCTTTTTAATACACTGTCTAGGGCTTCCCTCATAGTTAAGTCAGTAAAGAATCTGCCTGCAATGCAGGAGACCCAGGTTAGATTTCTGGGTCCAGAAGATCCCCTGGAGAAGGAAATGGCAACCCACCCCAGTATTCTTGCCTGGAGAATCCCATGGACAGAGGAGCTGGCAAGCTACTGTCCATGAGGTCACAAGAGTCAGATGTGACTTTCTGACTAAACCACCACCAGGTTTGTCATAGCTTTTCTTCCAATTGTTTTTAATATTAGATTTTTAAAAAGTGTATACCATCTACACAATTGAGTCAATATACTCTAAATACTTGATGACTTACCCTGAGGAATGCAATCTTGTTTCTAACATCTGTCACAATGGCATTCCAACTGTCTACAGCAGCCTTTAACTGAAGTGATTTTAGGTTGCTGGTACAAAAATGGAAACACAAGAGAAAGTTCTTTGTATATGTCACTTAGATTTCCAAAAGTTTCTATTATGTTCTCTAATATTTATGTAAATAAAACAACAACAAAATTACCTCTATCACCAGTTGCCTCAAATGAGAAGAAAGTTTATGAAAGGACTTGCTATTAAAAGTTTTAAGAAAAGACTAGGAAACAAAGACAAGATTTCTTTTTTAAACAGTGGATATAACCTCTGCTTCCAGAACACTAAGTTTTTTTCTATCTTGGCAATATTTTTTAGGACATACTATAAAACCTTTGTACAGGAACCCCTCGACTGAAGAAGGCAGGCAAAGAAGACCAAGTAAGAAATTGCCCTAGCCACCTAGTTTGGTTTCCCAGGTGGGTAAAGAACCCGCCTACCAATGCAGAAGATGTAAGAGACACAGGTTCGACCCGTGGGTCGGGAAGATCCCCTGAAGGAGGGCATGGCAACCCACACCAGTATTCTTGCCTGGAGAATCCCATGGACAGAGAAGCCAGGCTGGCTACAGGGCAGAGTCATGGGACATGACTGAAGTGAATTGGCACTCACATGTGCATCAGTGCACCAGCAATCTCAAAGATGTTGACTCATCCTGGAAGCAGGTTTTGGACCATTTTCTCATTAACCTGACATCAGAGGGCCATGGTTGGCCTATAAGGCTGTCTTGTAAACTAGAAAAAGATACTCCCTACAAAAAGGTAAATCACAAAGTACCTCCTTTGCAAGGATGAATTATAGATTGCTGTCTCTAGAAAATGTATAAATTGCACAGACACAGCAGCTCTGCCAAGCAGCCCACCAAATGGCTTAAGTAAAACAGTTTTAAGGTGTTTAGGGTCTGGTATCTCTAGAAAAGAGATTTCATGTGGCCTTTCAGAAGGTTCTAACTGTTGTAACATCCCCACCCCAGAATCACCTAGCACAACAACTTTAAAAGAGCCTAACAAGTTATTACTGAGACCATCTCATACAAAGAAGCTTGATAATATTCTAATTTATAGAGCATCATTTCCCCCTTGAGGAAGCAAAGACAGATTGATCACTTACAACAGTGCTTTGCTGACCTGAACGTACATCAGTATATACTAGGAATCTTGTTAAACATCAGAGATTCTGATTCTTCAGAACTGAAGAATAATGACGATTATATTGAAATAATAATCATTAAAAATTGTGATGCATTGGTCCCAGAGATTTTTAACTCAATTATTCCTTAAGTTTAAAGGTACACCTGGTAAAATTACAAATTGAAGAAGAATCCCATGCAACCTGCCCCAAATTTGAAAACCATTCATTTGTAGCACAGTAACAAACTGCCTTTAACACAGGTGTTAAAGATATTAATGTTTTAGGTATTAATGCTGATTTTCCCTCAGCGTATTTTTCCAAAGGCATTTAAAATCAAGCAGTAAGAGAAAAGAATTAGAAAGTTTTCCAGTTGGAATCCACCTTGTTTTGTAAAGATCTGGTCTTTATGCACGTCTCTGACCGAGACTTCTGATCTGCTTCATTGCAGAGGAAGGGAAAATCCACTAGCAGCTTTTACTGCACTTAATGGACTACTCCGTGCTACACAGGAGCAACAGAGTAAAAGCTCAGAGTGATTAAACGACATCTGAGGTTTAAAAAAAAATGGCTTCCTCATCCCAAAGATTCTGATGTCATATATGTAAAACACAACACAGATTATGTCCGACCTCGGAGCCGCCCATGAGATCTCAGAGCTCAAGACACACCAAGGAAGTGGGAGGTTACCTTGCTGCCCTGTGAGTCGCCCTGGCGAGCTGGCTGAGACATTCCTTTTCAGTCTGCTCTAGGTGCAGCAAACCAAAATCTCTACGACACTGTAGGAAATATACCTACAGAATTGTGAGAGAAAGAGAAAGAAGTGAAAGGTGCACTTATAGAAGAACACATTTTTCTTCAAACATTTCAAGTAAATTTAAAGCTATTTTTAAAAATCTCTTCTAATAGCACCTGAGCTTCTTTTCCGACCATAACACATTAAAGCTCTCTGATCAATCCTGAAGTTCTACTATTTTTATTCAAAAGTTACTTGGTTGATAAACATTTTAGAACATTAGTTTTCAAACTTGCATATGCAATGGAATCATCTCAGAAACTTTAAAAAATGGTGCTTTGGTTCCAGAGATTCTAATGTAATTGATTCTAGGTGCAGCCTGGTAAATGGGGTTTTTAAAAGCTCTCAGATTATGCAGCAAAGTTTAAGAACACTCAAAAGAAGTCCTGCTATTTGATTTTTATTTTTTAATTGATGAAGGAGTAAGAAAACAATGAGACCATATAGGACTATGCCACCCAAATGGGGCTTGGAGGTCATCTAGTTGATGTCTCTCCAAGTATTATTGATGAATGGCCATTTGGCCTTTGTTTTTTTCTATGGATCACTCAATATTCACTGAAAGTAGCTTACTATACTCTTGGACAGCGTTAAGTGTTTCTAAAATTAATAATCTAAGTAGAAACTTTCCAATTAAAAGCAGTGAAAAAGTCTACAAACTTGAGTTCTTAAGGTAATCTGAGGTTGTTTTCTTTCCCCAGTTAAATTTAATACTCCAATACATCACTCTCCGGGATTTTTGGTGCAGATATCAACCCTTGATTGTTGAGCTCTGGGTTTCAGAGTACTCTGTTAAAAATAGACCTTACCCATGACAAAGGTGAGAAGGTCTGTGATGATTTTAATATCAATGAGCTCTCCAAAAATTTGAATTTTATTGTACATCAAGATTGGTTATCTACAAATAAAAATTACACACATACATAAAATCGCATTTCTTTTGAGAAATCTTAGCTGAGAAATCTTAGTGGTGTTCAAAAATAACTTAGGAGGACTGGATGACTTTCTAGGGGAAGAGGTAAGTTAGCTTTTGACTGGAATGTATGGTGTGTGTGTGTGGTTTTGAAATATTTATACATTTAAACAGTAAAGAAAGGATTTATTATAGCAGCAGTGAAATATTATTCTTACACATTTGGCTCAGTCACCTAGTTTAATGAGAATTTTCCAAGATCAGTATGCTATATTTACTGAAGCAAACCAATTTCTTGGGAGTCATTTGGGGGAAAACAACATAAGATCATCAACCTTCAAGTAAATATACAAAATGCCAATGAGTCAAAAAAAAAAAAAACACAAGAGTTTGAACTGCGTTTTTCTGGCTGGTCCTAAGATGTCTTAATTCTGTTTATTCAAAAAACAATCTTTTCAAAATTCTTTAGTATACTAGTACACAAGTAAAACTTCCCTCCCCAACTCCATCTCTTTCTCTCTCTTTTTTTTTTTACCTCAGCTGTTAAAGCCCTGCTAGTTTCTGCATTCAGTTTGTTTAAGTATGTTTTAATCGTGCTTTCCAGATTATGCTTCTCCACTTCCCACTGAGATCTGAAATATATGATAATTAAAGAGTCAGGAACATTGCAGCAGGTCAGACTCTTCCTCCTAATTCAGGAGGCACACAGATACAAGCTGTTCAATGAATAGGAGATGATTTCCTGAAAAGTACAGGGCACATAGAGGCAAGAAGAGACACTGCTCAACCCTTGGGGTTATCCTTTACTATCGTGAGTGTGGCAGGTTTAAAGCTGTCAGTACAGAGGTTATGATTTAAAACTTGACTCTGAAATCAAGCTGTCTGAAGATGAATCTGACCTTCACAACTTATTAAATGTGAAACCATGAAGAAGTTACTTCTCTATACCTCAGTTTCCTCACATAGAAAAATGGAGAAAATTATATTACTTACCTCAAAGAGTTCTTGTGAAACATTCATTCAGATAATATATATAAAGTACTTGCATCTGGCACATATTAAGTACTAAGTAAGTATAAGCTATTATTAACAAAGTTTACATCAAATAAAGTTTCTACAAGCCTTTTTACGTTGTAACAATAGCAACCACCCCTGTAATAAAGCTACATCACTGTATTAAAATATTTTACTGGTTATCTCAGTGCTCATATTCAGTACCTCAGAATGAAAACAATTCCTATAGGCTGAGAAAGAGAGGAGGAGATGCTGATAAGGATATTATTTATGAAGGACATTATGGAAAATGTCAATCTATGACGTTTCTCTTTTTCCTAACCCGTTTCAACTTCCTACACTTGAGCCCTGGAAATCTAGACCATACATGTCAAATTATATTCCCAATGAAAGCATTTAATTGGACATATAACATTGTAATAGGAATTTTTTCACAAGGTTTTCCTCAATGTTTTATTATTAGAAACATCTGGATGCTAGAATACCTAACAATACCTGACAAACATTTATAAGAAGCTTGATAAAACAATATGTTGTTAATATCCATTAAGGCCAGAGTATTTTGAGGGTAAAAATTATAAAATATGGAAAGAGTCAACAAAAAGGAATTATAATGCCATTGAATGCTTGTGAAAATTTTGCCTATGAGAGAAAAAAATAAATTGGATTTCATCAAAATTAACTGTGCTTCAAAGGACATCATCAGGGAAGTAAAACCAACCCACAGAATGGAAGAAAATACTTGAAAATCATGTATTTGAAAATATTTAAAAATCTGACAAGGAACTTGTATCCAGAATATACAAAGAACTCTTAAAAGTCAATAGTTTAAAAAGTGAAAGTGAAAGTCAGTCACACGGTCATGTCCGACTCAGCAATCCCATGGACTGGAGCCTGCCTGGCTCCTCTGTCCACGGAATTCTCCAGGAAACAGTACTGGAGTGGGTTGCCAGTTTCTTCTCCAGGGGATCTCCCTGACTCAGGGATTGAACCCTGGTCTCCTACATTGCAGGCAGATTCTTTGCCAGCTTAGCTACTAGGGAGGCCCAGTAAAAGAGAAACAATCTGATACTAAAAGTATTCGAAGGAAGTAAAGGGACATTTCTACAAGCAGATACACAAATAGACAGTAAGCACATGAAAAGATAATTATTAGGAAAATGCAAATAAAACCCACAAAAATACATACCACTTCACAAATACTATGATGGGTGAAACCAAAACAGATAACATAAGTTATTGGTGAGAATGTAGAGAATCAAAATACTCACATGGCTGGTGGGATTGTAAAATGGTACAGTCACTTAGAAGACAGTTTGGCAGTCCCTCCAAAAGTTAAACACAGAGCTTACTGCATGTCTTAGCGAGTCTACTCTTAGGTATATACCCAAGAGAACTAAAAGCATATATCCACATAAAAATTTGTATACAAATATTCTTAACAAACAAGAAAAAACAAATATTCATAACAGCATTACTGATAATAGTCAAAAACTGGAAACAAAATGTCCATCAACTGATGAAAAATGTGGTATATCCATATAATGGAATATTATTTGTCCATAAAAAAGGAATGAGTACTGATACCTGCTACAATATGGATGAACCTTGAAAACATCATGTTAAGTGAAAGAAGTTAATCACAAGAAACCATGTATTATATGACTCCATTTATATGAAATGTCCAGACCAAAAAAAAAAAAAAAAAAAAAAGACTAGTGGTTCCCAGAAGCTGGGGGAAAAGAGAATCAGTGATTTCTAATGGATCCAGAGTTTCTTTTTAGGGTGATAAAAATGTCCTGTAATTGGATAGTGGTGATGGTTATAATCCTCTGTGAATATACAAAAAACCAAGTCATTGTATACTTTAACAGGGTGAATCTTATTTCTATATGAATTAGATCTCAAAACAACAATTATAAAAAAATATATGAATCAGAACAAAACTTAGCCGGTTTCATAAAGCAGTCACAGATAGCAGTAATGATTGCAATAAAGAGAAGAGAACTCATAAGCCCTAGTCTCTGACAGCAGTCTACTATAGGACCAGCCGCTTGTTACCTTTTCATAGAAAGTTGCTCTTTAAGGTTCTTGATTTCATTATCTTTAGCATGGCTCTGACGCTGTAATCTAAGAAGAAAGAATGCCATAAGATGTTAGAAATCATTTGTCATTAACAGTCAGAACAATTCTGTTTGTAGCTGAGGAGGGACCGAGCATGTCCCTCTTTTGTCAGAGTGCAGCACCTGTGTCCGGGGTGGTGTGGGGCTACCGGGGTTTGGCTGGAGTAAACATGTAGTACCAGAAAGGTTCCATGTTATTCTATCTTCCTTTCCCTCATCGTTTGGTTAAAGGGAACAGACTTTTCTTGGTGCTTTAGTGCCCCCCTCCCCTGTGCTTACTAGCAATTCCATGTTGGAGGTTTCTGCAGGGCCCTGTCTAATACACATAGAAGGCAATAAGAAAAATCACTCTCACATCATTCTTCAAGTTCCAAGGTTTCTAGACAGTCATCTTTCTTCTTCTATCTTTCAGAGTCTTCCTATGTTCATTGTGTTCTGTCCAGGGTGTTATAGTTTTAAGGAGGATTTGCAAGTCAAGAAGCTACTACGTGTTGGTGAAGTGGTGGTCCCTCTATTATATGTAATTTTAATCCTCTCATATTAATCTATATTTTCCACAAGCTCACAGTTAATATCTGATATGTCTTGGCATCTTTTACATGTCTTTACATAATTGTTTGCACACCACGGGAACTTGATAAATGTTTGATGTCCTCACACAATGAACACACAAGCTAGAATTTTTCATGAGAATACTTGATTAGAGAATTTGATGGACTCAGCTTTTTATAACTGGTCGCTTACACTGAATAAGGTATCAGAATTGAAGAGGAATATCTCAGATAGTGAAGGAGAAAGGCAGCTGCATGGATGGCATTGCTTTTCTGATCTCTGATGCTATGTAACATATTCATGGGTTGGTCATTATCTTCCAGGCTAAAAGACAAAGTTTTGAATCCTGAAGTGTGGTTTCTTAAGTGATGTCAGCCAGTTTAGTTTTCAGGTCTACAAACCTCAACGTGTCCACAAGCAAGTGACATCATGTTGCCAGAGGTATGGCATCCTGTTCTTCCTTAAAACCCCTTCAGGTTGAATGATATGTTATGTGGGAGAAAATTTAAGACCAAAATCTGTGTCAAGTATTTTTCCAATTTTCCAGTTGGTGTCATGGGTTCCTTACACCGAGGTACTCCCTAGAACCCATTTGCAACTGCAGTGGATTTCAAATCAGACATCATGAATGACTGGTATTTTGTGGTATCACTGTTTTATCAAAATAATATGTTACAAATTATACTACTATTTCACCCGATAGTGGTTTGAGGCAGTGGCTAGATTAAAAAGAATGGAGCAGGATACTAACTTTCCATATTAAATCAGAATTTTTAGTCTTAGGCATTTAATACATAAGGTTGTAGGAGATATGAGATTGATAGGGGAGAAAAGATTCTCATCTTGTGCTTAAAACACAAATACTCTCAGAAACCAACATTAAAAAGTATAAAAGTGAGCCAGTGATGTCTGAGGAATGTAATTCTTATATGCTATAAACTAGCCAATCATTAGTCATGTTTTTACAAATGAGAGTCATGACCTGAAAGTTAATTATTGTTCTCATGTGATTCTATTATCTTCACACTTATTCAGCCAATATGTGAAAAGCTTGACATAGAGTGAGCAGTTGCTTATTTCTCAATGCAGCTGGCAAGGCAAACATGCAGTGGAGTTTTAAGCAGGTGCAGTCCTGTGGTTGGGAGTTCCTAATGTGCAGTCACAATGCCACCCAGTGGCTACATAGGGATTATTTTTTAACACAGGATTTTCTTCCATCAACAAATGTGCACTTACTTGGACATCTTACTGATTCCAAAAGCCACCTGTTGGTTAAGAGATTCGATGATTTTATCTTTCTTTTTAATCTGCATTTGGTTTTCTTGCCACCACAAAGTCACTGTTTTTAGTTGTCTTTTGAAATCCTGATTAATGAAAAATATTATTTCAACGAATTTTGTTCAAGTCTTCAGAAATTTAAAGAAAAAAATTGGAGTCTTCATCACAAGCTATCTCTAACGTGCCTCAGATCTAAGGGCAGAAGTACTCACTTCACACTGGCAGTGCAGTTCACAAAGCCGCTGCCGTCGCCGAGCAAGCTCCTCCTCGGTTCCTCCATGCTCTGCAGTGACCTTGTTGGTTGAGCCCTGTTGAGCAAACGAAATACGAATGCTTCAGTTTTGTCTCTAAAAAAGCAGTTAGGGGGCTTCCACTGCGGTGGCTCGGCGGTAAAGAACCCATCTACCAACGTAGGTGCCACGGGTTCAGTCCCTCTCCTGGAAGACCCTACACACGGTGGAGCAGCTAAGCCTCTGGGCCAACTGCGGAGCCTGCGCTCCACAGCCAGAGAAGCCGCCGCAGGGAGAAGCACGCATCTGCAACCGGAGAGCAGCCCCCACATGCCACAACTACGGAGAAATCCACGCAGCAATGAAGACCCAGCACACACAAAATAAATAAGTAACTTTAAAAAAAAAAGCACTTAATGTGACAGTTATTTAAAGGAAAAGCACTACTATTTTTGTTATTTAGTGAGTATTTAAGTTGCTAACTCATGCATTATAGCTTTCAATGCAAACATCATTCTCTGACTAATTTAAATGAATCTGCCCCTCTGCAGTTACAGCACTCACCGAGCAACGCCCGAGTTACTGCCAGCAGCCTACTGCTGCTACTACTGGATAATGTTATCTGCAAGCTCACCATGCAGTCTAAAGTTTTTCACGTAATGCTTTTGTTGTCACAAGATCATATGAACTAGGTACTCGATATTCCTATTTTAGAGATGGTAAAACTAGGTAACTTGCCCAAGGTCACACAGTTAAGTGAAAGAGCCAGAATTCTAACTCAGGCAATCTTGATTGCTCAAGTACCTAATTATTACCTTAGAAATCATCACCTTAGATTAATGTTTAATTTCTCCACTGGATTATAAACACTATCATCACGGGGACCATATCTTGGCATACCTCTTGACACAACGTAGGTGCTAAGTGCCTTTTAAATAAATGAGTGAATAAACATTTTTCAAAATGTATGTGACATTTTGATTCTGTCTTTGAGTTCTCATAGCTGTTGAATGAAAACTAAAGACCCCACATTTAAACTTTAGTGTGACATCCAAAGCATAGAATATGTCATTTCAGTTAAACTTTATGTATTTTAATTGGAAAGGAGACAGAAAGATATGACAATCATACTAATGTACTATCAGTCAGAGAATCATTTGCACTGTTTCCTTAGACAATCAATATTATTGATATTATACACTATATATTATTATACTTAAACCCTGAACAGGTTATCATAAAATTATCACAGTATAAAATTATCATGGGTAGTAAATCCTGTGGTTTTTAAAAAAAAAAAAAAAAGCTTTCACAGTTTTGTCTAACTAAGTGCTCTGTTGAGCACATAGAATATGTTCATGTGCACCTTCATATATGTATGTCATCCCCAGTACTGACTACTAACAGGAAAGGAACCCAAAAAAGTGCTGTTATTAATATTTTTGTAGATATTTCATTGTAACAGCCAAGTTTAATTATCTAAAAAATGAAAGTAGCTTTGTTTTATAAAGCTATTTTCCTAATGAAATTTAATCCAATGAGATTATGCTAAGGTATTTTTTCTTCCTGTGTTATCTGAAAACTCTTTATAAGGTATGCATCTGTAATCAACTCTGCCCAATACTTAAAACCAGGAAATGGCCTGAGGACTAAAGTGAAGAGTTTCTGGTTCCCAGAGTTCTTTTTTATGTCAGTCGTCCCTCCGTCCCTCCTTTCCTACGTTTTCTTTTTCCTCACACACACAACATAAAACACTAGGTTAATAAGATGTTCAAAGAGTCATGGTGAGAAAATGGTTACCAATTATTCTGGAAGAAGGAAGGCAGGGCTGTACCCTCTCCAATCAGGCTTACCTGCTCTATCATGTCCAGAATATGCAATTCATCCAGACTATAGGACTTGTCTTCAGTCGTAGAATCTTTGTGAATATTGCTTGCATCATCTTTCATAAATCTACTGATTGCATACAGATTTGCTTGTTCTTTCTTCAGCTGCTCTTCCTTTGCTATCATACTTGGGCTATAGTGATGACATAACCAATGTTAACCTCTTATAAGTGTATAGTGTTTTTCATCTAAGCCATTATTTCCCCAATTAATATTGTACTGGTCTCATGAGATGCTTAGATCAGAAAGGTTCAAAGTTTGGACAATGCCGATGCCATGTATTTCTTTTGGAGACTCACAGTGAATTTTAGCATATTTGAGACAGCACTCAATTGAGGTACCTAGTCTGTTCATAGTAGTGCTTCTAAGAATTATGAGACCATGGAGTTCATTTTTCAAGTTATAACTATTAACATCAGTTACTTTGAGAAACAATACTTTGGGAAATATTGACAAGCATTTCCGTATCTGCTATATTATTTAATCATTACAGCATTCCCGACAGGCAGGTTGGTTTAATCAACTTCAGTGCTTAGGTCTCATGTACATTTAAATAGAAGGCTCTGAATAGCAACATACATAAAGCAGATTTAAGATGGAGGTTTGTTTTGTAACAGGGGTTTTTTTTTGTAACAAGATTTTATTAAAAAAAAAAACTGTAGTGATAATGAATTTCAGTAACTAGAAACCACTGAGAAAAGAAAGGAAATACTATAAGTACAATGGCAATTAACTCATTTTTATACCTATGTCTAAAATTTAAATGCATACTAGTATCATTTCAGTTGTCCTACTATTTAGTAGCTATGAATTTCCTTCCTAATCTCACTGAATAATAACTAGAAATAGTACTTTTACATATAGCATGATATAAATTACTTTATTAGCGAATGGAAAGAAAACAGATGCATTAGTACTTATTTTAGGTCAATAAGATCTAGAAAAAAGGACATATTATGCTTGTAGAATAACTTGTAAAACACTATAGAAGTCATTACAAATCACTGAAGTATTCCAGACTAACTCAAACATTTTGACAAGTTCAATGAAATAAATTACTTGTTTAGACCACAGTTTCAAAACTCAGTTTTCCATATTACTTCAACAGTTTTTTTTAATTTATATTCTTCCTGAAACCACAACAGATGCAAAAATATGAATTTATACTTTTGAAAAGCTAGAAAAGGTTACTTCTAAATTTTTAAAGTATGATAATAGTATTGTGATAATATAGGAAAATATTCTTCTATTAAAGAGATGCAAACTGAAGCATGTATAGATAAAATTATACAGTTTTGAGACTGAAAACACTCAAAAAATAAATGTGAAGGGAAGAATGAAGCAAATGTGGAAAAACAATGAAAACTGTAAAATCAGGATGATAGGTATACCTACTAATGTAGATATATTGTTATTATTCTCTTTACTTTTGTGTGTTTTGAAAATTTTCATTTAAAACAAAGTTCCCTGGGTGATTTGATGATCATCCAGGTTTGGGTCTATGGTGTAAGTCAAAATAAGCAAAATGACTGATTATACTGTTTCATTCTTTAATAATTTACATTTATGGTATCTAGACATAAACTTACTTTTTCACCGGTCATAGCAAACACTCTTTTCCAACAACCCAAGAGACAACTCCACACATGGACATCACCAGATGGTCAATAATGAAATCAAATTAATTTTGTTTTTTGCAGCAAAGATGAAGAAGCTCTATACAGTCAGTAAAAACAAGACCGGGAGCTGACTGTGGCTCAGTTCATGAGCTCCTTATTGCCAAATTCAGTCTTAAATTGAAGAAAGTAGGGAAAACCATGAGGCCATTCAGGTATGACCTAAATCATCCCTTATGATTATACAGTGGAAGTGATGGAAAGATTCAAGGGGTTAGATCTGGAGTGCCTAAAGAACTATGAACAGAGGTTTGTTAACACTACTGGAGGCCATGACCAAACCACCCCAAAGAAAACGATATGCAAGAAGACAAAGTGTTGTCTGAGGAGGCTTTCCAAACAGCTGAGGAAAGAAGAGAAGTAAAAAGCAAGGGAGAAAGGGAAAGATAGACTCAACTGCAGAGTTCCAGAGAATAGCAAAGAGAGGTAAGAAGGCCTTCTTAAATGAACAACGCAAAGAAATGGAGGAAAACAATATAATGGGAAAGCCTAGATATCTCTTCAAGAAAATTGGAGATATTAAGGGAAATTTTCATGGAAGGATGGACATGATAAAGGATATAAATGATAAAGATCTAACAGAAGCAGAAGAGATTAAGAGATGGTGGCAAGAATACACAGAAAAACGACACAAACAAGGTCTTAATGACCCAGATAACCATGATGGTATGATCACTCACCTAGAGCCAGACATCTAGGAGTGTGAAATCAAGTGGGCTTTAGGAAGCATTATGAGGAACAAAGCTAGTGGAGGTGACATAATTTCAGCTGAGCTATTTAAAATCCTAAAAGATGATGCTGTTAAAATGCTACACTTGATATGTTAGCAAATTTGGAAAGCTTAATAGTGGCCAGAGGACTGGAAAAGGTTAAGTCTTCATTCCAATCCCAAAGAAGGGCAATGCCAAAGAATGCTCAAATTACTGCACAGTTGTGCTCACTTCACATACCAGCAAGGTTATGCTCACAATCCTTCAAGCTAGGCTTCAGCGGTATGTGAACCGGGAACTACCAGATGCACAAGCTGGATTTCAAAGAGGCAGAGGGGCCAGATTACTGGGTCATGGAGAAAGCAAGGGAGTTGAAGAAAAACATTTACTTCTGCTTCATTCATGACGCTAACATCTTTGACTGTATGGATCACAACAGCTATGGAAAATTCTTAAAGAGATGGGAATATCAGACCACCTTTCCTGTCTCCTGAGAAACCTGTATGCCAAGAATTAAGTTAGAACTGGACATGGAACAACTGACTGATTCAAAATTTGGAAAGGAGTACGTCAAGGCTGTATATCGTCACCCTGCTTATTTAACTTATGTGCAGAGTATATCATGTGAAATGCCAGGCTGGGTGAATGATTACCTGGAATCAAGATTGCCAGGAGAAATACCAGTGACCTCAGATATGCAGATGATACCAGCCTAATGGCAGAAAGTGAGAGGAACTAAAGAGCCTCTAAATGAGGGTGAAAGAGAAGAGTGAAAAAGTTGGCTTAAAACTCAACATTCAAAAAAGTAAGATCATTGCATCTGGTTACATCACTTCATGGCAAATAGAAGGGAGGAAAGTGAAAGCAGTGACAGACTATATATTTTTTTTTTCAGACTTTTATCTTCTTGGGCTCAAAAATCACTGCAGACAGTACAGTGACTGCAGGCATCAAATCAAAAGATGTTCGCTCCTTGGAAGGAAAGTTATGACAATCCTAGACAGCATATTAGAAAGCAGAGACATGAATTTGCCGACAAAGGTCTGTATAGTCAAAGCTGTGGTTTTTCCAGTAGTCATATAAGTATGTGAGACTAGGACCATAAAGAAGGCTGAGTGCCGAAGAATTGATGTTTTCAAACCGAGGTGCTGAGGAAGACCATTGATGGTCCCTTGGACTTCAAGAAGATCAAATCAGTCAAACCTAAAGAAAATCAACCCTGAATGTTCTTTGGAAGGACTGATGCTGAAGCGGAAGCTCCAATACTTGGGCCCACTTGATGTGAAGAGCCAACTCATTGGCAAAGGTCCAGATGCTGGGAAAGATTAAAGGCAAGAGGAGAAAAGGGCAGCAGAAGATGACATGGTTAGATACCCTCACCAACTCAATGGTCATGAATTTGAGCAAACTCTGGGAGACAGTGAAGGACAGGGAAGCCCGGTGTTCTGCAGTCCATGGGGTCACAAAGAGTCAGACAAGACTTAGTGATTGAACAACAACAGATATAACCTTGAAAAGACACACACACACTATCAGTTTAGTGGCTCAACTTGTTGACAGAGAAAGTGAAAACCCATCTTGTATGATAAACTATTAATGTACCAAGTGGATCATGTCCATTATCAATGAGAAAATATCAACTGCAAGATGCTTTAAAGCTAACAAAGTATGTTCTTGTTACCATTTTAAAGATAAGTATGTCCTTACAGAGAGTTCTCTATAGCTACTACTTTTCAGTTAACAAAACTTTTGGTGGGTATAATGATCTCTTCATGGAATGTCTCCCCTACTTCCTTCCTCAACTGCACTGTCATTAATCATGTTGATGGGAGAATATAGCTCACAATTATCTTTAGACATTAAAAGGTGTCCAGTAAAGGTTCAAAATTCACAGTTAACAACTGCAATTATAAAAAAAGAAACAAAACATCTTAGGTTAATTAAACAAAGCAAACCACATAAAACTCTTTTTATAAAAGGGGTTACTAAGACAAAAGATAATCCGTCTTTAAGGTTAAGTTTTATTTTGTCTACATTTGGCTAACTATAATCTAGACTGTATTTTAAAAGATTTTATGCTGGAACCAAATTTAGTCCTTGAATAAAGCAGTTAGCATGGGATGACTCTTGAGTAGCCACACAGAAAAATGGTAAGAGATTCTATTGTCCCAAAACAAGTGATAATTTAACTGCCATTTTCAATAAAAAACCTGACAACTTATTACGATTAAAAAACTGTCTTTTCTTCTCTTAAGAATATTACCATATTCTGAGACTATGTACCAAAGCAAGGTTGTGTCATACTGGTAAAGCACACTTGAACTTATTACAATTAAAAAACTGTCTTTTCTTCTCTTAAGAATATTACCATATTCTGAGACTATGTACCAAAGCAAGGTTGTATCACACTGGTAAAGCACACTTGAAAGGACTAAGAAAAACTTTAAAATGAAATAAATACTTACACTTGCTCTTCTTTTGATTCCTTATTCTGAAAAATAACATCAAGAATTAGTATTATGTATTAACTATGTTGGTACAGTACAGTGATCTAACGGAACTTAGACATTTCTCAAGTTTTGAGGGGATCCATGGTGGTTCAAATGTAAAGAATCCGCCTGCAATGCAGGAGACGTGGGTTTGATCCATGGGTTGGGACGACCCCCTGAAGGAGGGCACGGCACCCCACTCTAGCATGCTTGCCTGGGAAGCCTCGTGGATAGAGGAGCCCAGCAGGCTACAGTCCATGGGGTCACAAGGGCTGGACACAACTTAGCGACTACGTCACCACCACCACCAAGCTTCTGACCGCAACCAAAATAAATATATTTTACATTATGACTTAAATGCACTTACACAGCTATTTTTATACACAAGCATAAAACCGAAACATAAGTTCCATGAAACAAACTTTACTCATTATGTGTGTTACGGACTACATGCTTGTGTGCCTCCGAAATTCTTCCATCAAAACCCTAACCCTCAATGTGATGGTAATTGGACATAGCCATGGGGAGGTAATTAGGTTTAAATGATGTGAAGCCTTCATGACAGGATCAGTGCCATTATAAGAAGAGATCAGAGAGGGAGCTTGCTTGCTTGTGCATGCTCACTCACTCTCTTTCTTTAACATGTGATAATATAGTAAAAAGGTAGCTGTCTGCATGTTAAGAAGAGGGCCTTCAGCAGACACTGAATTGGCTAGCACCTTGATCTTGAATTTCTCAGCCTCCAGAACTGTGAAAAACAAAAATTTTGTTTAAGCTATCCAATCTATGGTAGTTTGCTATAGCAGCCTAAACTAAGACAATGCATGAGGAACTCTAGAATTTTTTTATTCATGCTAACTCTTCCTTTTCTAAAATTATAGCTGTGGCCTACCAAATCGATTTTGTTATCTAACCACTGAGACATGAAACACACACACACAAAAATCACTGATTCAGATAATGGAAATGAGTGTTAAAGCTGAGTTTGTACCTATTGCTATATCTTAGGACAGGGTATATGTAATTCTTATTTATGAAATCTGACACTAATTATAAGCGTTCTTGAAAAATCTGTGTGTAAAGAGAAAGCAGACTGATATACTAAGAAACTTACAGGAAAAAAAAATGCTAGGGAGATCACAATTGGGAAGAAAAGTTAAATAGCCCTAAATTTTATTTTCATTAAGATAAAACTATAAAGGCAACCTATTAAATAAAGGTAATATCAATGACACAACATATTAATTACTCTTATATATCACCCTTCTACTAAGAGTATCAATTACTGTCATGTAAATTACAGTATTAATTTCTACTATCATCTCTTGTTTACAAAAAAATTCTGGTCTCTTTCCCCACAGATTCTATGATAAACTTACTAATTTGTTTTACTTTATTGTCTGCATACCAAGAGGAATTTTGCATTTCACTGTCTGATCAATGTCCAGTGACAATTTGATTCTACAATTTAGAATTATCAACACCTGCCTTGAGTGTACCTGAATAACTGAATTGAAAAGAGCTTTGGTTGTTCATAATGAATACATCTAGTATAATAAGTTCCCCAGCTACCCGAAAGTACATCATTCCTATGAAACCTTTCCAAAGTTGAAATGGTATGTGTTAGTTGTTTAGTTGTGTCTGACTCTTTGCAACCCCAAAATCAGCAGTCCACCAGGCCCCTTTGTCCATGGGATTCTCCAGGCAAGAACACTGGAGTGGGTTGCCATTTCCTTCTCCAAAAGGAACTATACAAGCTGAAGAAATAATTACAGGCGTACCTTAGGTGTAATGAAGGTTTGGTTCCAGACAACCTCAATAAGGTGAATATTGCAATAAAGCAAGTCACACAAATTTCTGGATTTCCTGGTACATATAAAAATTATGTTTATACTATATTGCAGGCAAGTAAGTGTGTAATAACATTATGTCTTAAAAAAAGAATATGTGTAATTTAATTTTAAAATACTTTATTGTTAGAAATGCTAACCATCATCTAAGTTTTCAGCAAACTGCAATCGTTTCTGTGGTAGATGGTCTTGCCTTGATGCTGATGGCTGCTGACTAATCGGGTGGCAGTCGCTGAAAGTGGCAATGGCTGTGCTAATTTCTTAAAATAAGACAACAACAAAGTTCGTCACATTGATCGACTCTTTCTTTCACAACTGATTTCTCTGTGGCATGCAATGCTGTTTCAGATCTTTCAAAGCTGGAGTCAGTCCTCTCAAACCCTGCAGTTAAGTTTATGTCATCTTCTAATCCTTTGCTGTCATTTCAACAGTACTTACAGAACTATCACCAGGAATAGATTTCATCTCAGGAAACTACTTTCTTTGCTCATCTTTAAGACGCAACTCTTCACCCATTAAAGTTTTATCATGAGATTGTAGCAATTCAGTCACATCTTCAAGCTCCACTTCTATTTCTAGTTCTCTTGCTATTTTCACCACATCTGCAATTACTTCCTCAACTGAAGTCTTAAATCCATCAGTGTCATATGAGGGCTGGAATCAGCTTCTTCCAAACTCCTGTTAATGTTGATATTTTTACCTCTTTCCATGAACTATTAACATTTTTAATGGCATCTAGAAAGGTGAATCCTTCCAGAGGTTTTCAAATGACTTTTCCCAAATTCATCAAAGGAATCACTATTTATGGCAACTGAGCCTCTCAAAATGTATTTCTTAAATAATAAGACTTGAAAGTTGAAATGACTCCTTTATCCACAGGCTGCAGAATGGATGTTGTGTTAGCAGGCATGAAAACAATATTAATATCATTGTAGATTTCCATCAGAGCTCCTGGGTGACCAGATGTACTGTCAATGAGCAGTAATATTTTGAAAGAAATCTTTCCTTCTAAGCAGTAGGTCTCTAGAGTAGGCTTAAAATATTTAGTAAACCATATTGTAAAGAGATGTGCTGTCATCCAGGATATGTTGTTCCATTTCTAGAAGACAGAGTTGATTTAGCATAATTCTTTTTGCTAGGATTTTCAGAGTGGTAAATGAGCACTGGCTTCTACTTAAAATTACTAGCTACATTAGCCCCCAACAAGAGAGTCAGCCTGTGTCCTGGAGTTTTGAAGACAGGTATTACTTTTCTTCCCTAGCTATGAAAGCCCTAAATGGCATCTTCTTTCAATAGAAGGCTGTTTTGACTATATTGAAAATCTGTTGTTTAGTATAGTCACCTACATTAATTATATTAGCGAGGTCTTCTGGATCACTTTCTGCAGCTTCCACATCAGCACTTGCTGCTTCATCTTAGAACCTGAAGTCATAGAGATGGCTTCTTTCCTTGAACCAACCTCTGCTGGCTCCAAACTTTTCTTTTGCAGCTTCCTCACCTCTCTCAGCTTTTACAGAACTGAAGTGCCTTCCCCTAGATTAGGCTTCAGTTTAAGGGAATGTTGTGGCTGATTTAATATTCTATCCAGAACACTAAAATTTTCTCTATATCAGCAATAAGGCTTTCACTTTCTTATCATTCCTGTGTTCACTGGAGTAGCACTTCTAATTTCCTTCAAGTACTTTTCCTTTGCATTCACAACTTGGCTAAGTGTTTGGCACAAGAGGCCTAGCGTTCAGCCTATCACAGCTTTCAATATAACTTCCTCACTAAGCTTAATAATTTCTAGCTTTTGATTTGCAGTGAGAGACCTGCAACTCTTCCTTTCATTAGAACACTTAGAGGCTATTGCAAGGTTATTAATTGCTCTATTTCAACAACTGCTGCATCTCAGGGAACAGGAAAACCCAAGGAGAGGGACAGAGATGAGGGAATAGCTGGTTGGTGAGTGAAAGTCGCTCAGTCATGTCCGACTCTTTGTGACCCCATGGACTGTACAGTCCATGCAATTCTCCAGGCCAGAATACTGGAGTGGGTAGCTCTTCCCTTCTCCAGGGGATCGTCCCAACCCAGGGACTGAACCCAGGTTTCCTACATTGCAGGTGGATTCTTTACCAGCTGAGGCACCAGGGGAGCCCTGATTGGTAGAGAAGTCAGAATACACACATTTATCTTTTAAGGTCACCATCATATATGGGCAAGATTTGTACCATCCCAAAACAACTGCAATAGTAATATCAAAGCTTACTGGTCACTTCAAGTGGTATTTATCCCAGGGATGCAAAGATGGTTCAATATTTACAAATTACTCAATATAATATACCACAATGACTGAAGAACAAAAATCATATGGTCATCTCAATAGATGCAGAGAAAGCTTTTGACAAAATTTAGTATCTGTTTATGATAAAATTTCTCCACAAAGTGGGTACAGAGGGAGCATACCTCAACATAATAAAGGCCATATATAAAAAGTCTACAGCTATCATCATACTCAATGGTGAAAAGCTGAAAGCATTTCCTCCAAGATCAAGAACAAAACAATGACACCCACTTTATTCAACACAATATTGGAAGTCCCAGCCATGGACAAGAAAAGAATTAAAAAGAATCCAAATTGGAAGGGAAGAAGCAAAACTGTTACTGTTTGCAGGTGATATGAAACTATACATAGAAAACCCTAAAATGCCACTAAAAAGCTAGTAGAGCTCATCAATGAATTCAGTGAAGTCACAGGATACAAAATTAATACACAGAAATTTGTTACATTTCTTTACACTAACAAGGAAATATCAGAGAGAAATTAAGAAAACAATCCCATTTACCACTGCATCAAAAAGAATAAAATACTTAGGAATAAATACAAGGAGATAAAAGCCCTGTAGTTGAAAACCTATAACGCTAATGAAAAAAAATGGATAAATTAAAGTGAGGGGCAGATATTCCATGTTTGCTAATTGGAAGAATTAATATTGTTAAAACAGCCACACTACCCAAAGCAATCTACAGATTCAATGCAATCCGTATCAAAATACCAAAAGTATTTTTCACAGAACTAAAACAAATAATTATAAAATTTGTAAGGAAATCCAAAGACCTTAAATAGCCAAAGCAATCCTGAGAGAGAAAGAGCTAGAGGCATCCTACTCCCCGATTTCAACCTGTACTGCAAAGCTACAGTAATCAGAAGAATGTGGTCCTGGCACAAAAACAGTCATGTGATCAAAGGAACAGGGCCAAGAGCCACTCAGGAATAAACTCACACACTTACGGTCAATTAATCCATGACAAAGGAGACAAGAGCATGCAATGGGGAAAAGACAGTCTCTTCAGTAAGTGACGCAGGAAAAAACTGAACAGCTACATGGAAAAGGCTAAAATTAGAATAGTGTCTCATATTATATGTAAAAATAAACTAAAAATGGGTTAAAGATCTAAATGTAGGACCAGAAACTATAAAACCCCTAGAGGAACATTCAGGCAGAACACTTTCTGACATAAATTGCAACACTAATTTTTTGGATCTGTCTCGTAAAGCATGGGAAAGAAAAGCAGAAGTAAACAAATGGGACCTAATTAAATTTAAAAACTTTTGCAGAGCAAAGGAAACCACTGACCAAAATGAGAAGATAACTTACTGAATGGGAGAAAATATGTGCAAACAATATGAATAAAAAGGGGCTAATATCCAAAACAAACGGTTCATACAGTTCAATATTAAAAAAAAAAAAAAAAAGACCCAAACAACCCGACTAAATAATGGGCAGAAGACTAGGCTTCCCTGGTAGCTCAGGCGGTAAATAATGGGCAGAAGACCTGAATAGACATTTTTCTAAAGAAGATATACAGGTGGCCAAAAGGCACATGAAAAGATGCTCAACACTGCTAATCATCAAAGAAATGCAAATCAAAACCATAATGAGATCATCCCACATGTAGCAAAATGGCTATGATCAAGACGACCACAAATATATGTCAGCAAGGATGTGGAGAAAAAGAACACTGTACACCACTGGTGGGGATGGAAGTTGGTGTAGCCACTATGGAAAACTATACAGAGGTTCCTCAGGAAACCAACAGTACAATGACCACAGGATACAGCAACTCTACTCCTTAGCATACAGGAAAAGAAAATTAGAATGTGCATTTGAAACTATACATGCACCCCAATGTTCACAGAAGCATTATTTATGATAGCCAAGATATGGAAGCAACCTAAATGTCTATCAACAGATGAATGGATAAAGAAGCTATGGTATATATACACAATGGAATACTACTCAGCCAGAAAAAGGAAATTTTACATTTGCGACAACATGGATGTATCTAGAGAGTATTAGGATTAGTGAAAAAAGTCAGAGAAAGACAAATACTATATGTTGTCACTTATATATGGAATTTAAAAAGTAAAACAAATGAATAAATATAACAAAATAGAAACAGATGCAGATATATAGTGGATAAACTAGTTGTTACCAACAGGGATAGGGAAGCAGGGAGGGACATCATAGGAAGAGAGGGTTAAGATATACAAACTACTGTGTGTAAAATAAACTACAAGGATATATTATATAGCACAGGGAATGTAGCCAGTATTTTATAATAACTTTGAATGGAGTATAACCAATGAAAATTTTGAATCACTATGTTGTGTACAGCAAAATAATATAATACTGTAAATCAACTATACCTTAAAAAAAGATAACTGATCACAGATCACAATAACAAAATAATAATAATTTAAAAGTTTGAAAAAAAATAAAATAAAATAAAAGTTTGAAATATTGTGAGAATTACCAAAATGCAACACAGAAACAAAGTGAGTAAATGCCATTGGGAAAACGCTGTCACTAGATCTGTTTGATGCAGAGTTGCCACAAACCTTCAATTTGTGAAAAATTCAGTATCTGCAAAGTACAATGAAGCAAAGTGCAATAAAACGAAGTGAGCCTGTAACTTTTTTTGTATAAGCAAAAATCTCTTCAGATTTCTTTTCGTTAGCATAAGCAGACATTAATGCAGGTCTTTCATAAAAACCAAGTGGTATAAAGTGAACTTCAGAAAGCAGGAGATACCTGTATTTCTAAAATTCCTTTTAAGCTCTTTCCAGGATAACTTCATGCCAACTTTGCGTATCATCCTGTCTTACATGCATCTCAGCAACTTCCCTTTAAAGAGGACATCCACTTTGAAAAGCTTATTTCCTGCCATATTTTTTTCCCTCAATGCTTCTATTCTTTTGCCATCTGCTTCACCTTCCTTTTCTACTTCTAACGTCAGTTCCTCTGAGTAGGGGATAAAATTAGGAAGAAAGAAAGAACTAATTAACTCTCGAGAGTTATTTACAATTTACTACTATACATACTAGTTAGAAGTTATCTTATTATCCCCTCTGTTTGCTACATAAATTATACTTTTTGTCATCTTTATCCAGAGAATCCCTGATAGGTGTTTTTAACACCTCAAATATTGTTAGGTAGACACGCTGAAAATCAAATTTAAAAATCAAATTTTGCAGTTGGGCAAATACTTCCACTCAGTTTATAATTTAATATAGACTTTAAATATATGTTTCAAGCCAGAAATAACATTTTCACAATAAAGCTTGCATAGCATAGTGATTAGCTATATGCTTAATAAAAAAATCACCTTGAGTCCAAATCCACAGAAATGTACAAGAGTGAACCAAAATGTAAAGTATGGACTCTGGGTAATTATGATATATGGATTCAAGCCTATCAGTTGTAACAAATGTTAACACTATGCTGGGGGTTGTTGGTTGAAGAGGCTATATGCATGTTTGGAGTCAGAAAGTACATGGGAGATCTCTGTAACTTTTTCTCAACTTTGCTCTGAACTAAAAAATTGCTCTAAAATTATTAATACAGTCTTGATTTAAAAAAATTAAGCCAATAAAAAATACTCTTGGCTTTCTCTTGTAATTTTTCAACCTGTTAAGAGACTTCTTGCTAAAACTGCTATAGACTGTAACTTGCTGATTTTACAACTCTCAAACAACAGGAAGAGGCATAAAAGAAGCTTCTTGGCTTTGTACCATTTTAGTACATTATTGCATTGTTGGCAGAGTCTCAGATACAAAGGAGAAAATCAAGATTTCTTAGGTTTTAAAAATGCTTGTGAACTTATCTGTAGAAATATGAAAAGAAGCTGTTTTTAAAACAGAGTAGGTATTTTTAAAATGAGAGTGGTATGCAGAAATTAATGAAATTTCAAAGTGATTAATTCAGTTTCTTTACTTATGTATTTAAATGTATATATTATGATTCAGGGAAGTAAAGTAGGGCATATTGTAAATTTAAATCACTTTCAGAATCTAACACATATAGACTTCTTTATAATCATATATTCAATAAGCTGTGAACATCTGTAAGTCATCTGTGCTACTTATCACTTGGACTGATTTTAAGTTCTAACTATTAACAGTAAAACCAGGCTTCCCTGGTGACTCAGTGGTAAAGAATCTGCCTGCCAATGTAGGAGATGTGAGTTTGATCCCTGGGTTGGGAAGATCCCCTAGAGAAGGAAATGGCAACCCACTCCAGTATTATTGCCTGGGAAATCCCATGGACAGAGGAGCCTGGCGGGCTACAGTCCATGGGGTTGCAAAGAGTTGGACACAACTTAGCAACTAAACAACAGTAAAACCATGTATTAGACCAAACTGTTCATAATCAGACACTCCTCCATTATAATGCCTCTTACCTTTTTATTCTTGGTCTTTTTCTTTTTCTTTGGTTTACTCTTAACCTGATAGGTAAGAAATACATCTATTTAATATGCAAATCAAACTGTACAATAGATTATTTTGCAAAATATATTTCCTCTAACCACTCGGAATTTTATCTTCTAAAATAGATCATAGTTTTCTCTATATTCTATGGAACATTAGTTTCATTTTAATTTCAAATTCAGTTTTCTGCTTGAGAAATCACTGATGTGTAAAGGAACAATATATAACATTAATGAGTAGGCTACTGAAAAGGGCTCAGAGGTCTTCACTTGCACATGTATGACTAACAAAGGTGTGTGTGTGTGCGCGCATGCATGACTCACAAAGGAAGAAGGCACCTTAAAAAGAAATCAACATATCCAGGTCCATAAGATGGAAAACTAAGCCTAGAAAGAATTTAGTCACCACGTATTAACTGCTACCACTTATCTGTAAGAAAATACATCCTGGATGACTTTAATTCTACCTCTGTGTAAACAGTATTGAAATATCCCTGTTTTCTCTTCCTTTCTCTCTCCTTCTATTCCCTACTATGCTTTCTTCTACTTTCTGCTAACCTTCCACATTCACTCCACCACTTAGGATGAAGAAACATGTTCAGAAATCTAGCATAGAGCCTGGCACATAATAAGTCTTCAATAAATGCTGTCACAAATACATGATTAAGGCAGGGAAGACTGTAGAAGAAAGTACTGGGAAAAGAGCCATTCCAATTCAAGCTCTGAATACACAGTATGATAATATAAAATAAGACTATCTGGGATGCTTTAAGAACAACACATGTAACAAACTAAAAGCCTTGATTAAGTTCTTCTAATTCAAATATTAATGAGAGCTTATACTTCCTGGAGATCTTTAATAGATTCTGTCGAAGATTCACTGGGTATCGATGCCCCATCTTTATTCATTTCTGCTAACTGTATTTCAGGGATTGATTTCACATTTATATTGTACTCCATAAGAGGTGGACTGAGTTCTTCTTCTTCATTTTGTAACTCTTCTTCTTCAATACCTAAATATTAAAACCAAAACACTCAAAATCTGGATGCACATAATTTTAGCTTTATCACTATTTTAAATACATTTACTCCGCCCATAACACCATCCCAGGAATAAAAATAGAAGACATCTTACTCTGTTCAAGTACTAAATGAAAATAAAATGTCCATTTATTAATGACCAAATAATAATAGGTACATATACTAGCCTGAAACCAATCAGTGTGAACACAATGCTAAGATATTTTACTTTTATCTTAAGCAGACTGTAGATATTAGATAATCTAGAATTCAAGTCAACCCTAAATATAAGCTTTTGAGTATTCTGACATTGACCCTGTTAACACTGTAACTAGTATTATTTTAGGGCATAAATATGAAACATAAAGAAAAGAAGGAAAAGTTTGATTTATTTTTTTCCCTTTTTTCCTTCTTTTTCATAACCAAAGGCTGTTAAAGGGTATCAGCCCCCTATTATGTAACTTCTTCCTTGACACCAGGCTCCTTCATTGTGCTCCAGAGATTCAATCTCTACACCTGCAGACTTCATTTGACTGGTCACAATTGGTTCAAACAAAAGCCATGGTGTTCCTTTCTTAAGTATAATTTTAGTTGCAGAATTTGAATTACATTTAAAAAACCAACAGTACATAAATGAAAATCAAATAATTAGCAACTCATTACCTGGCAAAAAAGGATACAGCTGAACAATGGGTAGTCAGCCAGATAAAAGCAACATAAGCTAACGGGTAGCATGAATGATCAGGCAGGGCAAGCAAGCAGGCACTTCGACCTGATGACGTGTCCTTTGTGTCAAAAGCTAAAACACCCTGTTAGGGTAAACCCCAGGGTGCATGTACTAAGAGGAAGGCAGAGTACAAAGGCTCATAGTAGGTTCAGCTGATCAGTAGGGATTTGATCATATAATTTCCCAAACTTATAGTAAACACAGTGCATTTGACCAAGTAAAATCTACAGGTGCTCCTTGGCTGCGCAGGGTTGAAAGGTCACTGAGGCACTTGGTTTTAAGATACTTACGCTGACTGCCTGTGATCGACCGTAGAGCAATTCCTATGATGCACAGAGAAAAATGTCAGCTGTGTAATTGCAAATGCAACCAACAAAGATCAGACTGAGAATAAGAAGAACCAGGAAAGTTTTTTATATTGCACCAGTAAATATTATAACTAAGAATAACCAACTTCACTCATGAATCCAGTTTAAACAAAGTATAATTTTTAGATTAAAACATAAATCTTATGTTATAACATAAAGCTTATCTAATCCATGATTAGAGAAAGAAACGTTAAAAAAAAAAATAGTTCATAATAATGTCTAGAACACCAGTACTTTAATCCAAGAAGCAAATTCTTACAATTGACAGTCTAAGGTAATGAAGTAATAATATGTAACTATGAAGCAAATCTCCATTGTAAGTTTGAGCCTTTTTTAAAGCAAAATCCCGATAAGCAGCCCCCCTCCTTACCCATTAATATTTATTAAGCACGTATAATATATGAGACTGTATTAGGCTCTCGAGTTTGAAAGGTGAATAAAAAAGATAACCTTCATAGAGATTAGTGGGGACAATGGATATTAACCAGGTACCCAAAGGAAAACTACAACTGTAGTAACTACTAGGGAAGAATTATAAGATTCTAGGAAAGCTTCTATTAAAGAGGCATGACCAGTAAGCTGTTCAGACTTCCAGAGTGAGAAATGAAATGCCTTGAATTTATTGCTCAAAGCTCTTTCCCAAATATTACCTTTATTCTCATGAGTTTTTGTTATTTAAAATCTTAACAGAGTAAATGCAAAAAAGAAAAGCCTCTAATTTATAAGTTAATTTACAAGTCAAGGGTTCTTGCCTGACTTTCTTGTATCATCAAACTTGGCATTCTCTTCTTTCATGTTCAAGGACAGCTCTTAAAGGTTAAGCAGGAAAACACAATGGTATGCAGAGCCTTAGCTAAAGAACTGGGATGGGGGTCTAGCAATTATCTCTGAGGAAAATCTGGACCAGGCCAACAATTACTAGACTTGGAAAGTTGTATGTTTAAACAGCACCAGTGTGATCATCGGTTGCTCACCAGGTAGTATGCCTAGTACCTTGGGACCAGGAAAATTCAGCCAGAATAGCCCAGTGAGGGTGTCAGTGATGCTGCCGTACCTTCCCCTTCGCCTCCCATGGCAGCTGAGAAGCTACCCTGGAGTGTGGGAAGGCGCTCTGAAGTCCCTCCCATGGCAGACAATGCTGTCTGATTTTTAAACTTGCCTGTGACCAATGGAGAGCTAAACTTCCAAACTGAAAGGCACAGCTCTGACAGAAAGGCAAAACATGACTTATGGTGTTTAAAGGAGTATTCTTGAGACACGTAGTGCCTGTATTTCACGGTTTTAGGCATCCTTAATTTTGTGGAAGTGATAAAGCTCCTCTACTTAAAAATCTTCAACAGTTCCTTTATGAAAGCACAAAGCCCCTCAGCGTGGCAAAAGAAGCCCTCCTGAGCTTATTCTATGAGCTCTCCCCTGCGTTAAAGCCAGCATTGCCGAACTTTTAGTTCCTTGAATTATATTTCTATGTTTCTACACCTTTGCTCTTGTTTCCTTCTGAAACATCCTTCTCCATCTTCTTCACTTGGCTAACTTTTACATTTAAGATATTATATTCTCCAGAAAGCCTTTTAGATTCTCTTAGACTATAACTTCCCATGGTATTTTGAAAACATCTCTAGCACTGTAATTACTATTAATGTCTTGATGAGTCTATTCTCTCTAGAATGTGAGCTCACTGAATCTCCTGGCCTTAGCAGTGTGTCTGACACATAGCAGACACTCAGTGAAGGTTTACTAGTTTAGGTAAATAACTATTTTGTACCTTGTTGATAGCAGGATAACATCCTCTGGATGATTTCTGGTACTGGTATGCCTAGGTAGACGGACAGTTGATGGTAATCAAGGGAGATATTCTCAATGGGGTTCTCCTTCACTTTGTCAATGTCTTCTTTCTTCATCCCAAGGCGCAGAAGAATATCTGAAACTTTTTTCCAAATTGAATTGAATTGTGACTCGGTGAGACCATTCATCAAAATCTCACTAAGAAGGATATCCCTGTATTTGCACAGCCTCAGGATGTCTGCAGACTTAGAGAGATCAGAAGGTGGTGGTTCCATATTCCAGCCTTTTTTGGGTGCAGGGAACACATTCAAATGTTTTATGAGAGCTAATAGGAGGTATAAGTCAAACTGTCTGGACTGTGGTAGCTCCTTGTTTGGGGGATAAAGCAGATGCCATGCTCCACCCAAAGGGTGATTGGTCCAAAGATGGTTGTAGTAGGGTTCCAGTACATTCTTGTGTATAAGAAGCTCTTTTCTCAAAAGAGGGGGTGGCAGAGCCTCATCAAATATTTGCCGAACAATGTCAGTACCAGAAACAATAATTATATGAAGCAGATGATAGAAATAATTATAATCAAGTTTGAAGATAGGCATTTCATCTGAAAATGAATTTTGAGAAGTCAAAAGATTCCACATTAATGATCTTTTTCTATGTGGGTTCAGGTATTAAATCCTAAGTTCATGTAGGACAGGCACTATTCCAAAAGAATGAAGTATATAGTACAGAGCTTTGCCACAGCCAGTGCTCAATAAGCATGCTGCTATCTGTCTAGCTGTCAAAAAGTCAAAACAAAAACAGTATGCTCTAACCAAAAGAAATCACAAAAACCCATCACCATAGAAGCCTTTCAATCATTCAGGATTTTGTTCAAATAAATGAGCTGTGTCCACCAAATGGCATAAAAGTATTAGGCCTTTGAATATTTTGAAGACTGTCAAGAATGGTAACTGCCAGTGTTTAATTATATTTTATTTAGGCAATTACATTTTACCTTAATCAGCATTGTCCATAAAACTTTCTGTGATGAAAATATTTTAAATTTGTGCTGTCCACTATCCACTGAGAGTGGAAATGCTGCCTGTCTGACATAGGAACTAAGTTTGAAACTTTATCTAATTTTAATGAGTTTAAATAACCACATATGGCTAGTGGCTACCTTATCAGAAAATGCAGAACTATATTAAACATAAAGTGATTTAATGCCTTGCTCCTCAAAGTATAGTCCATTGACTAGCAACAGCAACTTCCACATGGGAGCCGGCTAAAAATACAGAATCTTAGGTCTTACACCAGAGTTACTGAATTGGCACCTACAGCACCTACAATTTAACAAAATCACAGATAATTCAAACATATATTAAAGTTTGAGACACACCAATCTAATGAACCTCTTACTCTTATCTTCTCAAAAAATAAACTAATAACTAAGTAGGTGTTTCATCAATGAAATGGAGTAAGGCATGAGACTGAACTGTTTCATCTGGTTTAGCAGCACCTCCAAAGGATGAAAGCAGACTGAGATGAATTAGAAAGTAATAAGAATTTGGTATATGATGGTATATTTTTAAACTAATAAAGTATTTATCATAAAATGTAGCTTTATTATTTTATCCTTAATGAGTGTGTGTTTCAAAAGATTTTTTATAAAATCTTTAAAGATTTTTAAAGATTCTTGCTTGATATACTTGACATAAACTGTGGAGGCAAGCAAGGTTACAAAGCAAACGACTCAAGGAGCTTTCTCTGGGCTGCCAAATAAGATGCTGGCTAGAATCAGGGACATCCCCAAGCAAGAAGGAATACCAGGAGACGCCAGGAGACCTTGGTCTCCAACTGCTGAGCAGCTGGCGTTTGCTAGCACACTCCTGAAGAGCTGGCACCATTTGGACTTGGAGCCCAAAATGTTCATTCTTTCCATTTCACCCTGTTAACAGGGAATGCAGCAAAGAAGGAGAGGTTGGTAAGGAAGATCAGATGAAGCTCAATCTGTATAGCCACATTTATGCACTACCTCTCTGTAGAGGCAAGGTAATGTGATACTCATACACCTGATATTTCTGTCAGTGAATTCCAGCCTATACCAAGTGATGCTTGTTAGTATAAACCCAAGCCCATGAATGACAAACACAAATAAACATAAGGTTGTTAATGGCATGATACTTTACATAGAAAGTCAAAATTTTTAACATAGTTTTTAACAGCAGACATATGAAAATAAAATATACCTTTTGTACCAAATTTTAAACTGATCTTCGGTCTTTTATCAGTATCAGTTATTTTCAGAGACATCAACTTTTTATAGCTGCAATTGGAAAAAAATAAAGTTAAAAAAGTCAGTGAAGATTTTTGGTATCAGCATGGCTAAGTCAGTGAGCACTTTCTTCTTCTACTCCTAGAAATAATTTAAAAGCAAAGAAGAAAATTGAATGAACCAATAAAAACACCAACAATAACAACCCTACAAGGCCATTTTCATTGGAATTCAGAGGCAAGTACAATTGTTAGATTTCATACAAAAAGAATCACATGACTAGCTTGTTTGCAAGAAGACTGTATGGTAGGAAAACAAATAGAAGTCTTTGCATTGTAAAAAGTCAGCAAACCGGGAACTCCTCCCACACCCTCTTCCACCACAGAATCTTCTTACCAATAACTGTTCTAAGAAAACTCATTTTATTACTGCATCCATGCTCAGTCGCTCAGTCGTGTCTGACTCTTTGCAACCCTTTGGACTGTAGCCCACCAGCTCCACTGTCCATGAGATTTTTCAGGCATGAATACTGGAATGGGTTGCCATTTCCTCCTCGATGGGATCTTCCCCAACTAGGGATCGAACTTGTGTCTCCTGCATCACTGGCAGATTCTCTACCATCGAGCCTTTGGGGAAGTCCCCCTTTTAATGACCAGTGATTAAAAGAGACACAAAGAAAGAAACTGGCATAGTGTCAATACAAATAACTAGGGAAAAATGAGAGAAAAGTAGCAAGATTTATTAAATAGACTAAACACTAAGTAAATGCTGCCATGAAACAGATGAAAAAACTTGGCACTTGAGTTCAAAAAGAACTCTCCCACAGAAAATAATACCAAAAGAAAAGCAACACTAGAATGTACACTTAGCTTAAAGGACAGAGGTGTTGGTGGTGGTTGTTACCGATTTTATCTCCAGCACCAGCATAACACTGCCAATCATCTGCTACACTGAAACCATTTTAAACACTAACAATATACAGTAACAGCAAAGATACTGAGTAAAAAAATTCTACATTGCCAGCGAGAGTGTAAGTTGGTAAAACCACTGTGGGAAACAGTTCAGCAAAATCTAGTAAAGTTGAAGATATGAATAGATGGCCTAGCAATTATACTCCTAGGAATACACTCTAGAGAATTTTTTGCACATATACACCTGGAGACATATATAACAATGTTCATCATAGAACTGTTGTTACTGTCTAAAACAGGAATTAACCCATATATCTATCAATGATAGAACAAGTAAAGTAGTATAGCTATAAATGTATCCACGGGATTCTCCAGGCAAGAACACTGCAATGGCTTGCCATTTCCTTCTCCATGGGATCTTCCCAACTCAGGAATTGAACCCAGGTCTCCAGCACTGCAGGCAGATTCTTTACTGACTGAGCTACAGGGAAGCCCTATAGCTACAAATGAAATAGACTATTGAAATGAAAAACTGTGACAGGAAAAAAATTTCAATGTCTATTTAAAAGCATAAAAATGAGTGTTTAAATGTATATAAAGTTCAAAACAGAAAAAAATAATACTTATAAGCAACAGTATAATGTGGAATTCAGAAAATATGTAAAAGTAAAATATATGATGCACAAAAATGGGAAGAAATCATGACTATATTATTGTAATGCTCATACACTATACATGATGCATTATCTAAAAATATATTTTATAGGTTAAAAATGTGTATTATCACAACATTGTAAATCAACTATATTGCAGTAAAATAATTTAAAAATGTGTATCATAGGTTTCAGAGCAGTCACTTAAAAAATGTAACAAAAAAACTGCAATCAGGAAACAAAACACAAGGGCAGATGGGAAAAATTGAAAACAACCAAGAAGATGATAGATTTAAGTTCAATGCAGTCAAGAATTACAGCAAACGTATGTGGAAATGATCGTTAATTTAAAGACAGACATTATCAAGCTGGATATAAAAAAAAAAAAAAACCAAGACCTATGTTATCTGTAAGAAACCCTCTTTAAAGGTAAAAATATATATGTGCTGTGTGCTAAGACACTTCAGTCATGTTTGGGTATTTGCTACCCTATGGACTGTAGCCTGCCAGGCTCCTCTATCCACGGGATTATATAAACTGAAGTAAATGGCTGCAAAAAGACATGCCACACAAATACTAACTAAAAGCTGGAATAGTCATGCAAATATCAGATAATAAACTTAAAGCAAAAATATTATCAGGGATAATCAGGGATATCCTTTTACATAAGGATAAAGGACTTAAAGCATCAAGAAAAAAAGAAAGTAACCCTATATATGTGTGTAGTATCTAATGAAAAGAGTTTAAAAATATACAAATAGGCAATAGAAAAAGACAATATATAGACATCCAATTTCAACATTTCCCTCTTAATAATTGATAGAAAAAGTAAACATAATCAGTAGTGATACAGAAACACTGAAACAAAACTAATAAATCAACTTGGTATATTAATGGCACATGGTACTAAACAAAGGCAGATATAGTTCAAATGCACATGAGACACTTATCAAAATACACAATATTTAAGTGTCATAAAAGAAATCTCCACAATTTTTAAGGCTATACTGCTTGAAAATACATTCTGTGACCACAGGGAATGAGATTAGAATTCATATCTAGAAACATAATTGAAATATCACCAAATATTTGGCAATTATATAACACACATCCATAATTATATACACACACAATTAGAAGATAATCTTGAGTTGAAAAACCTAAAAACAACTTACATATTAAAGTGGATGGAACATAGCAAAAGCAATGATGCTAAAGGAAAGCTGGTCTATAAGGAAAAAAAAAGTCTCAAATCAATCATGAAATCTTTCATCTTAAAAAATTAGAAAAATGTGAGAAAGCTGAACCCACAGCAAGCAGAAGCAAGGATGTATAACAAAGGTAAGAAAAGAAAACAATGAATTGAAAACAGAAAAATATTAGAGAAAATCAATGAAATCAACTGATTCTTTGAAAGGATCAACAAAATTGGTAAACTTCTAGTCATAATGATCAAGCAAAAAAAGGAACAAATTTCCAACATCAGAAATGAAAAGGGTGACATCACTGTAGAATCTACAGACATTAAAAAGGGATCATATGGAATTATAAATAACTTTATGCAAAGATTCATAACTTGAATGAAATTGACAAATTCCTTGAAAAAGACAAAGCTCATTCAACAAAAAATAATCTTAATAGCTATGTATCTCTTACACAGAAGAACTATACAAAAAAGATTTTCATGACCCAGATAACCACAATGGTGTGATCACTCACCTAGAGTCAGACATCCTGGAATGCGAAGTCAAGTGGGACTTAGGAAGCATCACTACTAACAAAGCTAGAGGGGGTGATGGAATTCCAGTTGAGCTACATCAAATCCTAAAAGATGATGCTGTGAAAGTGTTACATGCAATATGCCAGCAGATTTGGAAAACTCAGCAGTGGCCACAGGACTGGCAAAGGGCAGTTTTCATTCCAATCCCAAAGAAAGGCAATGCCAAAGAATGCTCAAACTACCACACAATTGCACTCATCTCACAAGCTAGTAAAGTAATGCTCAAAATTCTCCAAGCCAGGCTTCAACAGTACATGAATTGTGAACTTCCAGATGTTCCAGCTGGATTTAGAAAAGGCAGAGGAACCAGAGATCAAATTACCAACATCACTGGATCATTGAAAAAACAAGACAGTTTCAGAAAAACATCTACTTCTGCTTTTTTGAATATGCCAAAGCCTTTGACGGTGTGGATCACAACAAACTGTGGAAAATTCTGAAAGAGATGGAAATACCAGACCACCTGATCTGCCTCCTGAGAAATCTTTATGCAGGTCAAGAAGCCACAGTTAGAACTGGACATGGAACAACAGACTGGTTCCACATAGGGAAAGGAGTATGTCAAGGCTGTATATTGCCACCCTGCTTAATTAACTTATATGCAGAGTACATCATGCGAAATGCTGGGCTGGATGAAGCACAAGGTGGGATCAAGATTGCCAGGAGAAATATCAATAACCTCAGATATGTAATGGCACTACCCTTCTGGCAGAAAGTGAAGAAGAACAAAAGACCCTGTTGATGAAAGTGAAAGAGAAGAGTGAAAAAGTTGGATTAAAACTCAATATTCAGAAAACTAAGATCATGGCATCTGGTTCCATCACTTCATGGCAAATAGGTGGGGAAACAGTGGAAACAGTGACAGATTTCGTCTTCTTGGGTTCTAAAATCACTGCAGATGGTGACTGCAGCCATGAAATTAAAAGACGCTTGCTCCTTGGAAGAAAAGTTATGACCCACCTAGACAGCATACTAAAAAGCAAAGACATTACTTTGCCAACCAGGGTCCATCTAGTCAAAGCTATGGTTTCTCCAGTAGTCATGTATGGATGTGAGAGTTGGACTATAAAGAAAGCTGAGTGCTGAAGAATTGATGCTTTTGAACTGTGGTGTTGGAAAAGACTCTTGAGAGGCCCTTGAACTGCAAGAAGACCCAACCAGTCCATCGTAAGGGAAATCAGTCCTGAATATTCATTGGAAGGACTGATACTGAAGCTGAAACTCCAATACTTTAACCACCTGATGCGAAGAACTGACTCATTTGTAAAGACCCTGATGCTGGTAAAGATTGAAGGTAGGAGAAGAAGGGGACAACAGAGGATGAGATGGCTGGATGGCATCACTGACTCAATGGACATGGGTTTGAGTAAACTTCAGGAGTTGGTGATGGACAGGGAGGCCTGGCATGCTGCAGTCCATGGGGTCGCAAAGAGTCAGATACGACTGAGTGACTGAACTGAACTGATCTCTTAAAAACTTTAATTAATATGTAAAAGAAAATTCCAGTCCAGATGGTTTCTCGAGTAAACATTCAAAACATTTACAAAACTGTTGTTTTTGTTCCGTTGCCCAGTCGCGTCGGACTCTTGCGACCCTGTGGACTGCAGCACGCCAGGCCTCCCTGCCCCTCACCATCTCCCAGAGTTTGCCCAAGTTCATGTTCACTGCATCGGTGATGCCGTCCAGCCGTCTCATCCTCTGCCACTT